ATGCCATGTTGCATGTGTATTTGGAGTCTGTGTACAGGTTGATTATGGTATCTTTAACTGGTAGTGAGGGCTATGAGTTTAGCATGTTAGACTGTGGACGAGGTATGAGTGATATGCTATAGCATGTGGCTTTGTATGCTCGGTCATATGTTGTATAGTAGCATAACAAGCCCTTTTGTGCCCTCTTAGAGGAGCACGCGTCTGAGAACCAGTTGGGGGTATTAGGTATTGTTTGATCTATTGTCTTAGTCAGTGTTCTTTTTCTGTAAAGAGACACCAGGCCAACTCTTGTAAGAGAATTTATTTGGCGCTTAAAATTTCAGAGGTTTAGTCCATTATTATCATAGTGCAAAGCTTAGCAGCATTCAGGCAGCCATGGTGTTGGAGAAGTAGCTGAGAGTTCTACATCCGGATCCACAGGCAGCAGGAACAGAGAGACACTGGGACTGGCTTGGGCTTTTGAAACCCCAAAGTCTACCCCAATGACCACAGTTTATCCAACAAGGCCAAAGCTCCTAAACCCTCTCAAGTAGTGTCACTCTCTAATGACCAAGCATTCAAATAGATGAGCCTGTGGAGGTCATTCTTATTCAAGCCACCACATTCTATTCCTTGGCTCCCATAGTAAACACATTATTATGCAAAAATACATTCATTCCAACTTCAAAGTCCCCGTAGTATATCACAATACCAACCATGTTTAAAAGTCTAAAGTTCAAGTCTCTTCTGAGGCTCATGGCAACCTCTTAACTTCAATACCCTATAAAATCAAAAAGCAGGTCATATACTTCTGACATACAATTGCATAGAAGGTACATTACTATTCCAAAAGGGAGGAAAGGGAACATAATGAAAACATACTGGACCAAGGTCTGAAAACCAGATGGGCAAACTACCAACTCTGTATCTCCATGCCTGATGTCAAAGAGCTCTTATGATCTCCAATTCAGTTTTGTTGACTGCAATGCACTTCTCTCTCTTGGGCTGGTTCATACCCAGCCTGCAGCTTTCCTTGGCAGGTGTAGCCTGCAACTCTGCCATCTCCAGTATCTTGTAGTTTCTGAGGCAATCCTTCAAAGCTTCAAGCAAGGGCCTCTCTGGGTGGGTCTCCATGAAGGTACATACATCCCTGACACATACCTGGCCTTAGTGGTTTTTCTAAGCTGTGGGGGCAGAGTCCACAACCACTTTCTTCTGCCTTCAACTCTAAAACCAGAACCATGTGGCTAAGGCTGCCAAGTTCTGCTGCTTGCTAGTGCTGGGACATGGCCTCCCTGTTCAGTTACATTTGTACCAGATTTCTGTTTTTTGATGGTTTCCTTCACTGTTTAAGCTTTTTTTTTTTTTTTTTTTTCTTCTAATTCCTTTTTACAAATTGGAAGCTTAGATGGATGGAATCCTGCCCTGAGGTCACCACTCCTTTATTCCATTTGTCATCAGGCTTCTCTTTAAGCTTTTTAATCTCCTTGGACACTGGACTTAACTTCATTACACTTCTTGGTACTTCTTTTGTCCTCAAAGTATACATTTTGCATTTTTCCTTACTCAGCTTTCTTTTTCTCATTACAGTTCTTCATAAGGGTGGGCACTAATAACCAAGACAGTCAATACTAGGCTCTCTTGAAATCTCTTTTCAGACAAGGGCAAAAAGCAGCATAGCTTTGCCAAATATTACAAGAATGGTCTCTAGGCCACTTATTAATATTCTTTTACTATGAAATCTGAGCCAGGTGGTTATAATCTACATTGCTCTCAGCACTGCTGTCTTTCACTAGGATGATCTGTTAAACCCCACTTAAAGCATTCAGCTTTCTTTCCTAATCCAAAGTCCCAGCAAACAGCATGGTCAGTTGTCACAGCAATACCCCACTCCTGGTACCAACTTTGTCATAGTCAGTTTTCTATGCCTAATCTCAGTGATTCAGTTCCTCCAACAAGGCCATCCCTCCTAATCCCTCTCAAGTAGCACTATTCCCTGATAAGCAAGCATTCAAATATATGAGCCTATAGGGGCTATTCTTATTTAAAGTAGTACATGTATGCTGAAAGGGATATAGGGTGAGGTCTACTATGGAAGTACAAGAATGAGAGCCAGAAGTTAATGATGAAAAGGAGACATCAGGGAGTTAAGTTGTAGGGTTGAGGGCTTATCATGAATGCAAGAATCTGTCAGGGTCTGTGAGGTGAGAATATATTGTGTGAATACAAGAAGGGGAGAAGGAGAGAAAGGCTGTGTTGAGTAGATAAAATTGTGAGAAGGCCATATTTGAAGAAATGAATATGGAAAAGAAAGATACAGGTCCTTTTTTATAGTAGGGAAAGGAAGATCTTGAATTAAAGTTGTATGCTGAAGAGATTTACATCTTTGTTGTGGAATGAGGGTGATTCCAACATAGATAATGGAGGCTTGGTGTCCCCTAGCAGTGAGGAGTTAAGAAGTATGGTAGTCCAACAGACAAACAGAAGTAGAAGGGCTGCAGAAAATAGTAGTCAAATGTACCAAATTCAGGCCAGTAGTTCTGGTTATCAAGTGGATATTGAGGCTAGATCTGAATGGAAAATTGAATGAAGCAGTGAATATTAAGATACAATTTGAGGCCCGATTGTTTGAAATTCTTTAGAAGGCAAGCCAAAGGGTTATCTTTGGGCACAGAGATATTGGGATATTGCCCATGTTGTAGGTCTAAATGGGACAGGGCTACTCTGGAGTGTTTCCCAGAGCTGGGCATTTCTCTGGGATGCAGTTCCTGAGAGTTTCTTAGGCATCCCTAAGGGAACTGTTGGGAGGAGTGAAGTACTCCTCAGCTCTGAAACCAAAGTAGTCTGAGTCCCAGTTGCCACTGTTAAATGATAGGGCCCTTCAAGCTGAACAGGAGAGTGGATGGTGTTGAGGATAGCTCCAGAAAGGACAACAATGGTCCTTTCGCAAGCTGAAGGTCAGCTTAGAGGATAAGAAAAAGAGTGAGTTTACCACTCCTGCCAATAAAGAGTGAAACCCAAACCATTGCTCTGTTCACCTGCCCCTAGATGGGCTGAGGTGGGCTTAGCTGTTCTGAACGCCAAGGCAAAGTGGCTCTTGGAAGGCGAAGGAAAGATGAAAAACGAGATAGAGTATTGGATAGAAGCCGGGAAAAAGGGGCCTGGTGGGACTGTAACACCTCTCAGGAACTTTTTTTTTCTTCTTCACCTGTGGCAGATAGTTTTGCTGGATACTGTAGCCTAGGTTGGCAGTTGTGGGCCTTTAGAACTTACAATGCATTGCTCTGTGCAGCGTTTGGCGTTCAAGGTTTCCACTGAGAAATCAGCTGTTGCTCTGATGGGTTTTCCTTTATTTGTTGCATGTGTTTTTTTTTTTTTTTTCCCTTGCACTTTCTTTGTTCTTCATACTTAGTGTATTGCTCTGGTTATTTTCTGTTCTGCTCTTGTCTATTTGGTGTTCAATGTGCTTCTTGTATCTACAGGAGTATGTCTTTCCTTAGTTTGGGAAACTTTTCTTCTGTGATCTTTGTGAAGATCTGGTCTATACCATTGACCTGAGATTCTTTTCCCTCATCTGTGACTAATTTGAAGGTTTCGTGTTCTCACAATGTCTTCCATATTCTTTCTCCATGATTTAATTTATTTTTGCATATTCTTTGCTTATGTGGTTGGTCTGGGATCCTCTACTTCATCTTTAGATCCTGATAGTCTATCTTCTATTTGACCCATTCTACTTATAAGTCTTCCCCCTGAGTTTTCTGGCTTGGATACTGAGTTTTTCGATTCTGTCTTTGTGATGATTTGAAGCAGTATGGCTCCCATAGGATCATCTATTTGAATGCTTGGTCTGCAGTTGTTGGAGTTGTTTGAGAAGGGTTAGGGGATGTAGCCTTGTTGGAAGAGGTATATCAGTGGGGGTGGGCTTTGAATTCATTGATGAAGGTTATAGTTGTTCTTCTAAGTTCTGTGTCTCGATGCTCATCCAGGTAATTCTCACTGGAGAACTTTCTGCGGGACTGGTGGGTTTGGGTGTGGCTAGAGTACTGATTTATTTTTCATATTTGTGTTTTTGTCATGACACCTGTGGCATGTGGACTTTTTTTTTTTTGGTTAATTTTGTTGCTGATATGGACACAGCATTCTGGGACAGAGCACAGGATGTTTGGGCCGGGTTCAGCCTAGAGTTTCAATATGGTGTGGGTGGGTTGAAGGCAGGTGGACAGCCAGGCTCTGGGTTGGTACACAAGGTGCATGTTCTGGTCTAAGCCTGGAGATTAGGGCTGCAGTGGGCTGGTCTGCCCGGACTAGGAGGGAACACTAGATTTGGACCTAGGCTGGATCTGGGGATGGAGGAAGGTATGGGAGGAGCTGGTAAACTTACCAGGGTGGCTTCCAGTGCAGATAGGTGAGATAAGACTGAGCCTGGAAGTTGGATATGGCTCAGGAGGGGTGAAATCACGCGATAGGAAGAAGGGTCTGGGCTGCTGCACAGGGCATGTGCCCTGACTGACACCTGGAGATAGGTGGCAGCACAAATAGTGCTGAGCAGACCAGCTGGGCACTCACTGGCCGTGGGGCCCAGGTTGGAGCTAGGGCTTGGAAAGGTGCCTACAGGGGAAGATTGGGTAGCTGCCCCCTGCTTTATCCCTGGTGCAAGATGAGCAGAACCGGGCTCCATAGGAGTTGTGTTGAGTGGGTATTTCAAGCTTTGTTTTCTGTTACCACAACTTGTCAAGTGGCTGGTCAGCTCTTTGGGGCTTAGGAGTCAGTCTTTGGGCAATTTGCTGTTGATGCTCAAATGGGTTTTCTGAAGAAGTTCCAGCCCAGCTCAGGTTCAGTACGATATTCTAAGCTGACCTTCTGTAGAGTTAAAGGACTCTCACAATCTTCAGGATCCTATGGGATGAGCTCATGACTCTTCCTCAGGCAGTGGGTGCCTATGGAATTGGCAACACAAGTGTAAAACCCCCACCAACTACACTTAGTTTTAAGGATAAACTTGTCATTTCCTTGTCTTTTAGATCTTATCTAAACTTGGTTTGCCTGCACGTCCCTGGGAACACGCAATGAAGCAGAGCTTCGCCTTTGACAATGTTGGCTACGAAGGGGGTCTGGACAGCACCTGCTCATCCGCAGCCAGCACCGGAGTGGTTAGCATCCTAGGCATGACCTGTCATTCTTGTGTCAAGTCCATCGAGGACAGGATCTCTACCCTGAAAGGCATTGTGAGCATTAAGGTTTCTCTGGAACAGGGCAGCGCCAGTGTCAAATATGTGCCGTCAGTTACGACCTTGCAGCAGATTTGCCTGCAAATTGAGGATATGGGCTTTGAGGCCAGCACTGCAGAAGGAAAGGCTGCCTCCTGGCCTTCCAGGTCTGCCCCATCCCAGGAGGCAATCGTCAAGCTCCGGGTGGACGGCATGACCTGTCAGTCCTGTGTCAGCTCCATCGAAGGCAAGATCCGGAAACTACAGGGGGTTGTGAGAATCAAAGTCTCCCTCAGCAACCAAGAGGCAGTCATCACCTATCAGCCGTACCTCATTCAGCCGGAAGACCTCAGGGACCACATCTGTGACATGGGATTTGAAGCTGCCATCAAGAACAGAACAGCCCCCCTAAGGCTGGGACCAATCGACATCACCAAGTTAGAAAGCACTAACCTAAAGAGACCAACCTTTTCTCTTAACCAGAATGCCAATAACTCTGAGACCCCAGGGCCCCAGGGAAGCCGCACGGCCACCATCCAGCTGAGAATAGATGGGATGCGCTGTAAATCGTGCGTTTTGAATATTGAAGGAAATATAGGCCAACTCCCAGGGGTTCAAACTATTCACGTGCTCTTGGAGAACAAAACTGCCCAAATACAGTATGACCCTTCTTGTATCACCCCCACGTTGCTACAGACAGCTATCGAGGCGCTACCACCTGGGCACTTTAAAGTTTCTCTTCCTGATGGGGTAGAGGAGAATGAGCCTGAGAGTGGTTCTTGCAGTGTTCCTTCCCCAGGCTCCTCCCAGAGCCAGCAGGAGCAGGGCCCAGGCAGTACCTCGGCCCTTACCATCACTGGCCTTACCAGCGCGTCCTCCGTTCAGACCGTTGAATACATGCTGGCCCAGTGGAAAGGTGTGCAGCAGATATCCATCTCTTTGGCAGAAGGGACTGGAACAGTTCATTATGATCCCTCAATGGTTAGCTCAGATGAACTCCAAATGGCTGTAGAAGACATGGGATTTGAGGTGTTCGCGAATTCTGGTACGTCATTGTCTTAGGTTTGAACTGTGTTGGGGTCATCACTTGATGTCTCTCGACAGTACTTGGGAAGTTGCGTAGGTGGGCCCTGTTCACCACCTCGCACGTTGATAGTTATAGCAAGGTTTGGTCTGCAGCAGGATGGAGAAAATGGAATTTTCAGTTGCTGCCTCTCACGTAGCTTACACTCATGATAGATTCTTGATTTGGGCTTTTTTTTTTTTTTTTTTTCAGACAACTCTGCATTCTAAAACTAACATAGTAAGACTACTAAACCCTTCTCCTGTCCCAGTTGTGACAGGAAGTCGAGAGGTCAGAGGCACTGTGTGGGGTCAGATGGAATGAGAGCTGTGTGTGGAGGAAAATGGCCCTGGAGGAGAAGCAGAGCCCCTGATGAGCCCTTCCCTGATGGGGAAGGACGGTGCAGAGCTGGGGTGTAGATTTGAGTGGTGCAGCTCTCGGTGAAGAAAGAGGGAGATGAATTAAGTGGGGTTAAGAGTACGCGTAGCATTTTCCAGATGGCAACAGCGGAGAGGGTGGCCTCTTACATTAACTCAAGAGGCCATGGAAGTAGAGGTGAGCAGCGGCTTCCAGGATTACCTAGGGAAAGTAGGAAAGTAGGAGCCCAGCCTTTGTCAGGTGGTTGGGGAGACTTTAAATAGAGCAGGGGGGTGCAGAGCGAAGCAGAGATAGCATGTACCAGAGAGGCTCCCGATGAGTAGGGATGGGATGGGGTACTTGCTTTCTTTTCTTTCCCTCCCTTATCATCCTTCCCTGCACCCCTAAACCCCCTCCTTTAAAAAAAAACCCCCAAAACAAAAACCCACGGTCTCACCTTGTTGCCTAGGCTCGTCTCTAACACTTAGGGCTTAAGTGATCCTGACCACAGTCTACTGAGTAGGGGACTATACGCTGGCTGGCATATTTGCTGAGGGGACATGTGAGTGGTGGCAAGCACCTTGTTTCCCTAATCTGTAAATTGGGCTAGAATATAGCAGCCACAGAGCCTTGTGCCTGGAACCTGCTGCTGCTCCTGAGTGTCCGTGCTGGCATGGGAGCTACTTACAGAGCCAGGGCTTCTGGACTTGTTTCCCACTGAGCTGAGCTGTGTCCTTGAAAAGACCGCTCTGTTAGGACACCTGACTGACTCCCCTCTGTACATGCCAGCCCCCGCAGGTGCAGCACGGAGAGCGCAGTGGCCCCATGTTTTGTTCTTGTCCAAGCATTGTTTTGTTTTCTCACCACATTAGTTTTCCACACCCTGGAAAGAATGTGGTGTGTGTGTGTGTGTGTGTGTGTGTGTGTGTGTGTGTGTGTGTTTAAACAAAGTCAATAAAAGAAAATAGCAGAACAGTAAATCTTTTACTCTTTCAATGGTGCAGTCAGATTATTGGCAGCAAAAGAGAAGTGACCATAGAACTTAAGGTAATTAAACTTGACTGAGTAAGCATAGGAAGAAAAGAACTAGTTTATATTAGGTAGAACTGTAAGGCTTATACTCACTAAGGCCAAGAGATGCTTAGAGTATGGGATCTAATGAATAAAAATATAAACACCCAGCTGAATTTCAGATAATTACCCAATGATTCCTTTTGTATAAATATATGAGAATTGAAGATATGTGTACAGTAAAGAAGACTGACCTTGATCTGAAATTGAAATTTACCTGGATATCCTGTATGGGCAATTTTCATTTAGGTTAAACCTCAGTGAGCTTGCATGTACTGTTTGCATGCTGAAGAGCTGTTACATTCTAGGATCAGTGGAGGTTATTTACCAGGTAGCAGAAAATGAACAACACATCCTGACAAATGTGAGATTCAATCAGAAGGAAACCTGAGAAGCCATAGGCCGTTGTCAGTACAGGTGCCTGCTACTCATCCATCCCCTGCGCTTGTGGTTTAAAATAAATGGTAGTCTGCCATCAAGTCATGCTCTTTCCATTTCGAATATACTTAAGGGTATTATGTATTATCGGAGGGAGTGATGAATGTGCTTCTTGGATGGTGTTTGTCTTAGTCACTGCTCTATTGCTGTGAAGAGACACCGTGACCAATAAAAGAAAGCATTTAATTGGGGGCTTGCTTATAATTTCAGAGTCCTAGTCCGTTATTATCATGGTGGAGAACATGGTGGTAAGAAGACAGGTGTGGAGCTGGAGAAGTAGCTGGCACCTATATTTTGATCCACAGGCTGAAAGATACTAGGCCTGGCGTGGGCTTTTGAAACCTTAAAGCCTACTCCCAGTGACACACTCCTCCAACAAGGTTACACCTCCTAATCCTTCCTTACCAGCTGGGAACTAAGCACGCAGATATATGAGCCTGTGGAGACCTGTGAATGTATAACCTTAAATACCAAAACAGGCATTATATGTGTGATGAAACAGTGGATCTTAGGTAGGAAGATGCTCAATTATCCAGGTGGACCCAGCCATGTCCCATTGTCTTTAGAAAAAGTGAAGAACCTTTCCTGGCTGGACTAGATTGATGTGACAACTAAAGAGATATTTGGGATTACTAATTTTGAATATGGGAAAATGGGGCTGGGAACCTGAGAATAAACAGATTCTCCAACTGAGCCTCTTGAAGGACGCAGTGCTGCCGATGCCTTGATTTTAGCGTTGAGTAACTGAATAGAATACTCTAGTACTTTGTGATCTTTAAGCTACTAAGTTTATGGCAATTTGTTATGATAACAGCAAGAAGCTAATTTAATGTCTTTTAGAACCAGAGAAGTACTTACCCGTTAGAGTTGTGTAACTTATTCTCAGTAAGTTGTAACTAAAAACAAAACAAAACCAAGCAAACAAAACATAATGTTGTCCTGGCACATGATTAGATAGAAAAGCTCAGTAGATATTACAGAGCCAAGAGGCAGCTTCATGCAAATATGGTCTCGCCATTCATGCCACTGGGACTCTGGGGAGAAGATGGTAACCTTTTCAGGCTATCCAAGAAGATCATAGCTGGAAAGAAAGTAATCTCGACCATTACTTTATATGCTACATAAGAAATAATTAAAGTTTATTGCAGGCCTGACTGTGGGAGTTTACTAAAACCTGTAGGAGGACCAGGGAGGTAGCGTAGCAGGTACAATGCTTGCTGCACAAGTGTGAGAACTGGGTTTCAGGTTCTTATCACTGACATTTGGGCAGGACTGGTGTTCCGCTTGTATTCTCAGCACTTGGAGAGTAGAAACAATGGCTTCCCAGAGCACACTTGCTGTGCCACGGAACCAGCAGGCTTTGGGCTTAATGAGACATGCTACCTCAGTAAAGAGTGATCAAAGAACACAGCTAACTGCAGCCTCTGTTCTTTCTAGGCATGTGTACTCACATGTACCCTAAATGTACACCTATGTGTACCCCCACATATACATATGTAGACATGTGATATTAACCGGCATCCTCCTCGTGTTCTCATACTCATGAGTGCCCCCAACATCTGTAGACACGTGATGTCAACCTTTGTCCTCTACATACATGTATATCCATGTGCACCCGCACTCACATGTGTGCCCACACACATACTCATGTGCGCACATGCATACACATGCATGCACACACATGGGGAGAGAGAGAGAGACAGAGATCACGTGTACTACAAAGAAACCTAGTATCTTCAGAGGAAAATTCCATAAATATTTTTGCCAAGTTGAAGGAGAATCTATTGAAAGAACTAAACATTTTAAAAGGTTGATTTTTATCAATATAAGAGCTTTGACATCAGAAGGATGACAGCACAAAACACAGGCTTGGAGGAGACATTTGCAGTGCTTGTCACTGACAAAAGAAAATGTCACCCTAAAAGATCCAGGAGGGAGAGGCAGTGTTGGAAATACCAGTCCCCATGTCCCTTCCCACGGAGCTTTAATCTGAACATGTCATGCTCGAACCTCCTGTTGTCACAAGCAAGATTATGTCTTGCTTTCTAATTATTCCTCACATTTTATTATAGGAAACGTTCCTATTAACCATGTCAGAAACTCCATCCCTGGGAACTCTGTGCCACAAACCGTGGGTGATATACCGGGGTCTGCGCAAAAAATGGCTTCTACAAACCACGATCCTGGCCACTCGTCGGGTGCCCCACAACCCGTGGGGACAGCAGTACCACAGAAGTGCTTTGTACAGATCAGAGGCATGACCTGTGCATCCTGTGTGTCTAACATAGAAAGGAGTCTCCAGAGACATGATGGTAAGGGGCATGCAGCCATGCTGAACTTGGAAATACTTTGTCTCAACTCTCTGACTGTATTTATCAATAGCTCTGAGGATCTGGCAGCTAGCTCATCACGTGAGAATGTTGGTGTTTGTGTAATGTCCCTGTATGGTTGGCATTCAAGAATAACTGCTTAAGAAGCAGTTATTTTGTAGAGTATATCTCTGAGTACATTAGCCATGAAAACCCATTTGAAGGTCATGATATGTTCAATGGAAAGATTTCTCAATTAGCTTTTCCCAGTAATATCCAGTCTCCCACCCTCATCCCATCAATCCCTCTCTAGAAAATGAAACACCAGACTGTGCTTAGAATTGCCAGTTTCAGATACTCTTGTCCTCTTGACTCCAGAAGCTAGAAATTCTGGGTTTGCCCACCAGATGATGTTCTTTTTTGTTGTTGTTTTGTTTCTTGAGACAGTTTCTCTGTGTACTCCTGGCTGTCCTGACTTGCTTTGTAGATCAGGCTGGCCTCAAACTTACAGAGATCTGCCTGCCTCTGCCTCCCCAAGTGCTGGGATACAGGCGTGTGCCACGGTGCCCGGCTTCAGATAATGCTTATAATTGCTTCTTAAACTTGAAAGTGCAACCAAATCTTGTCCCTGTTTCTGTTTGGAAACACGTTGGTGGTGATTCCACCTGCACCAGGGCCAACCCGGTGGCTGCAGGAGGCTTCTGCTCTGACTCCTGGCCCTGGACCCGCCTTAACTTGGGAGCTTTTCCTGCCTTGTGTTCACTCCTTAAAAGTACCGCAGCTTGGGCTGGAGAGATGGCTCAGTGGTTAAGAATACTGTCTGCTCTTCCAAAGGACCCAGGTTCAATTCCCAGCACCCACATAGCAGCTCACAACTGTCTGTAACCCCAGTTCCAAGGGATCTGATGCACACATTAATGCACATAAAATAAAATTAAATAAATTATAAAAAAAAAGTACCGCAGCTCTTGCTTGGGTCATCGCCCTAAGTGGAGATGTGTTGCAGGAGGACCTCTGGCAACTGTGATCTGGCTGCAGATAAATTAAAATGTGACGTCATAGCACCTGTGTTTCTGCTCCTGACTTGAACTTCTCGCTTCTATCTTTTATGACATAAATTTTTCAAGCACATCGTGCCTTTCATTTTTTCTTCCTCTTAAACTACACAATAGTATTAGCCAGAGGGTCTATAGGTTTTTCGCTTTTGGAAATCATCAAAAGCCTGAAAAGAATAAATAAAACCACATTTGGAATTTTTTTCTCAAGTGTACAACAAGGTCATTTGCTCAACCATGTTTGTAGCAGCTTTATTTGTAATAGCCAGAAGCTAGAAACAACCCAGATGTCCCTCAATTGAGGAATGGATAAAGAAATTGTGGTACATTTACACAATGGAATACTACTCAGCAATTAAAAACAAGGAAATCATGAAATTTTCAGGCAAATGGTGGGATCTAGAAAAGATCATCCCGAGTGAGGTATCCCAGAAGCAGAAAGACACACATGGTATATACTCACTTATAAATGGGTATTAGACATATAATATAGAATAAACATACTAAAATCTGTACACCTTTCCTAATCAAGAAGGAGGAGCCTGGGTAAGATCTCAATCTTCATTTAGAAAGACAAATGGGATAGAAATTGGAAGAAGGTGAAAATAAGGAACAAGACAGGAGCCTACCCACAGAGGGCCTCTGAAAGACTCTACCCAGCAGGGTATTAAAGCAGATGCTGAGACTCATACCCAAACTTTGGACAGAGTGCAGGGAATCTTAGGAAAGAATGGGGAGACAGACCTGGAAGGGTCTGGAGCTCTACAAGGAGAACAACAGAACCAAAAAAATATGGGCTTAGGGGTCTTTTCTGAGACTGATACTCCAACCAAGGACCATACATGGAAATAACCTAGAACACTTGCACAGAGGTAGCCCATGGTAGTTCAGTGTCCCAAGTAGGTTCCATTCATGGAGATAACATAGACCATAGAGGTAGCCCGTGGCAGCTCAGACTCCAAATGGGCTTCCTAGTAAGGGGAACAGGGGCTGTCTCTGATATGAGCTCAGTGGCTGGCTCTTTGATTACCTCCTCATGAGTGGGGAGCAGCCTTACCAGGCCACAGAGGAAGACAATGCAGACAGTCCTGATGAGACCTGATAGACTAGGGTCAGAGGGAAGGAGAGGAGGACCTCCACTATGAGTGGACTGGGGAAGGGCATGGGAAGAGATGAGGGAAAGAGGGAGGGAGGGCAGGATTGGGAGGGGATGAGGGTGAGGCTGCAGCTGGGATACAAAGTGAATACATTGTAATTAAAAATTATATTAAAAAATTAAAAATTAAAAAAATTAAAAATCAAAACAAAAACAACAACAAAAAAAGAAATTTCAACTTTTCCCTTGTATATCAGAAAGGGAATGAAAAGTGTGCCCTTTCTATGGTGCAACTTGCTCAGTGTGCATCCAACAGTGGACTAGAGTTCAGATCGTTCTAAAGGCTTGCCGTCCCCAGGGGCTGGATGGGCACTTGCAATCTCATATCTACCAACTTAGTCTGACTTAACAGGTCCTCAGAAGGCTCCATTAATGTCTAAGAAGGGCTGTTCTGCAACAGTAGCTCTCTGACCTGACTCTACCTAGAATCCCCTGATTAAAGGGGCATTGGGTACCTATCCTGGGAAATACTGAGCTGCCAGGTCTGTGGTAGGAGAGGAGCCATCAAAGTTGTCCCTGGTTCCCTAAGTGATACTCATGCCAGCCAGTTTTGACAGCCATGGCTCTAGAGGGTTTCTTGGTTAAATCATGCTGACAGTATTGTCCCAGTTGCTGTGCCCAGATTCACACTTGTCACCCGATGGTTCCAGGCATTCTCTCTGTGTTGGTGGCCTTGATGTCAGGAAAGGCTGAGGTCAAGTATAATCCAGAGGTCATCCAACCACCCAGAATAGCTCAACTCATCCAGGACCTGGGCTTTGAAGCAACAGTCATGGAGGACAACACAGTGTCTGAAGGTGACATCGAACTGATTGTAAGTACAGTGGCTGTCTCCTGTAAGTACAGTGGCTGTCTCATAGAGTGGCAGCTCTCCCCCTGTGGTTTGTGCATGACCCCTTTCGGGGAGGGTGGTGTCCAACGGCCCTTTCACAGGGGTCGCCCAAGACCATCAGAAAACATGGATATTTACATCATGACTCATAACAATAGCAAAATTGCAGTTGTGAAGTAGCAACAAAATAATGTTATAGTTGGGAGGTCACCCCAACATGAGGAACTGTGTTAAGGGATCGCAAGATCAGGAAGGTTGGGAACCACTGCCCTGAGGAGTGCGGGTAAAGGAGGGTTTAGGGATGAGTTTATGACAGGTGCTGTCCTTTTGTTTGTCGGCTGCTGGGCAATATGCTTTGTTCTGTTTGACTGACGTGTTTCGTGTGTGAAGGAGGACTGGTTGTGTCAGAGAGCTAGAGGAGGCTGTCCTATTTAGTATACCCAGGGTCGGAAGGGAAAGACAGTGAAGTGAAGCTTACAAGAGTCAAGAAGGCACAAATAGCAGGCTTTGTTAAGCACGGTAAACAGGAAGGCTCGCTGTGGCACAGTTCTTCACGTCTAAAGCTCAGTTACCTGCAGGCATTTCTAGACGAAACACCCAAGTCCTCAAGGTAGTGGGCTCCATTCAATGACATATCAAGGGCTAGAGCAGGTAGATCTTGGCCTGGTATGCATAAGACCCCGGATTCCATCCTGTTTCCCCCCAAGTGAAATAACACAACAGCTGAGAGGACTAGCAGGCACACCAACGTCTGCCAGCTGAATAACCAAGAGCCTAAAACAGTAGGAGGTAAATTCCTCGGGAAGTGGTCCTCTCCACAGTAGTTTTCCCCCACTGTTGCAGTTGTATGTTAACAAGTTATTGAAACCTGTAGTTAATTCTGGTATTTGCTACATCCTCTGTTCCAATTGTGTTTGTAGAAAATGTTTTTTTTTTTTTTTTTTTTTTTTTAAACGAAGGGAGATTAAATACCCCTCCATACCAAAATGAGTACCATTGTTTTACTGAGGTCAGTGGGACCTTTACTTCCTTGTGTGTTTAATCTCTGCCATTAATGGGAAGTCAATGTTTGAAGAAAAAACATGGAGGACGTGAGGTACTTTGAGTGCCTGATAAGCGCTTTTCTCTGAAGAGCCTACCCTTTGTACTAGCTTTGGGGCTGTGCGCTGAAGGACAGAGTTAATATTTACTGGCTCCAGCAGGCATCACAGGTTGGGGAGGAACCCTGATATAGTCCTCCAGGTCTGCAGGTATAGATAGCTGGGCCCGCTGAGATGCTGCACAGAAACCCAAGTCAGGAGACGACCCGGGAGATGACTCACACCCACTCTGCATTCCTGAGGACTAGAGTTCAGATCCCTGACACAAAGTCAGATGGGCCTGGGGGGAGGGCTGCCTGTAAGGCCAGCGCTCACGACATAGCAACCATCCCTGCAGAGAATAGTCGGCCAGCTCTGGATCCAGAGACACACCTGCCTTGAAGTGAAAAGCCACCGAAGGGAGGCACCTGACATTACCTGTGTTCTCTACTCGCACATGCAAACACACATACACAGAAAATAAAATAAACATGGCCTCCTGCGGGGGTGCTTACCACCAAGCCTGACACCCTATGTTTGATCCCCAAAACCTACCCAGGGAGAGGAACCAACTCCCAAAGTTGTTCTCTTGCCTCCACGTGTGATTCCCGGAACGTGCATTCCCATATTCATTAACACACACAAGTGACTAAGTAAGCAGCATATCGGAGAAAGTGCAAGCTCTCTTAAACAGTCCTTTATTGCAGCCTTCTTTCTTTAAGCCCGCGTGTTCCTCCCAAGCCCCTTCCTTAAACATTGTCTCACTACACAGCCCTGGCTGTTTGATTTTTTGTTCACTCTTTAAGACAGGGTCTTCCTATTTAGTCTTGGCTGGCCTGAAACTTGCTCTGTAGACCAGGCTGACCTCAAACTCACAGAGAGCTCTGCCTGTTTCTGCCTCCCAAGTGCTGGGATTAAAAGCCCGTGCCACTGCCCCCGGATGAACATTTTATGTGAACTTATGTGTCTGTGTATTTGTTTGCACACGCTGAATATGTGCTCTGCCACCGATATATACCCCAACCTGAAAACTGAGCACTTAATTTATAGTCTAGGCTATCTGATGTGCCTCATCTATATCCAGCAGTGGCACGTATGTCACACTTAAAACCTCCTCCCTCCCCCACTCAGGATCATGGGACACAATGGTATGGCAGGAGTGCGTAGGCACCGGTTTATCTTCCTGCCCCGTTGCTGCAGGGACATTCGTTGGCCTGGTCTCCAACACCTTGCCTCACTGTGCAGTCCTGGGTGGCTCAGAGCAGACGCTGCAAGCAGGTTTCCAGGGTTTAAGCTTCGGTGCCACCCGTCAGTGGTGTGAGACGATGTACAAGTTAGTAAGCCTGTCAGCACTGAAGGTTAGAGGCCTCCTAGGCCTGATGACAACAGTACAGCGCCCGAGGCAGTGCCTAGCACGTTGCAAGTGTGTAATAAAGTGATTATTGCAAAAATGGAAGAGCCTAGGAGTTGTTTTGAAACATCTGTAGACTTGTTAAGTGCCTGTTCACCAGCACTGAGAGCAGAGGGGCTGTTGCCTGATGGTCTTCCCTTTCGTGTCTTGTTCTTGGGTACCAAGCTAAGCTCAATGTTGAACATGTCAGAAACAGGTAACTTCCCCTCCTGCTCCCTAATTCCAAATGGATCTCTCGTGGCTCTTTGGGCGTTTTCTATTCTGGAACTCTGCACACTTCGAAGTGCAGTTAGTCACATTGTCCTGATTTTCACCACCCCCCTCCCAAAGCTCTGCATCAGCTGCCAGCTTAGCAACACGTTTAGATGCTTGCTCCTGAGCCCGCCTGCTCCGGACCCAACCAGTGTTGCACATTTGCCTCCTCCCTTGTGTACCCCATTCCCTGCCAGGCCTGGCTGCTGAGGGCTGCCCAAATACCTCATGCTGTGTTGCCTTCACCTCTCAACACCCTCTCCACCCTCTCATATTCTACCCCCTCCATCAGTCGTTTTCTAAGTCCTGTTATCAGGATAACGCAGTAATGACATAGTCTCCATTGGAACTAGCAGGGCACCAGATAAAGTTCCATATAAAGGCTGCAGACCAGGTACCAGTGGCACTTGAAACTGAAAACTGTTAGGAGTTCCAAAGATGCACGCCTTTAATCCCAACACTTGGGAGGCAGAGGCAGCCAGATCTCTGAGTTTGAGGCCATCCTGCTCTACAGAGTGAGTGCAAAGGTGAACTTCCATATACTTGATATGTAATGTTGCTGGTGAGAAAAGACAATGCAGAGTGTCTTCTAAAAGCCCATTCTTAGTTGAAAGCCAAATCTTGGTCTGCAGCCACTGGCTAAATGGTTGCTATTGCCTACACTGGAGTTGGTAAAGCCGCAGAAGCCTCTCGGGGACTGATAGGGATGGACTCCTGCACATGGACTTCGGAGTGTAGTGTTTGTGGAGGGTGAAGTAGCTGCTTGTTCCTCAGGTACCTTGGAAAGGCTCCCTTCAGTCTTGGCATTTTTGTCCCCCTGTCTTGCAGATCACAGGGATGACCTGCGCTTCTTGTGTTCACAACATAGAGTCCAGGCTCACGAGGACAAATGGCATCACCTACGCCTCTGTGGCCCTTGCTACAAGCAAAGCCCATGTGAAGTTTGATCCTGAAATCATTGGCCCACGTGATATCATAAAGATCATTGAGGTACTTAATTTCTGAAAACTTTGTATCCACTTTTACAAAGCAGTAATACATAATCATTGGAGAGATGTAGTTAAGCCGTATTAAAGCATCATCTACAAGTCAAGAGTTGCAAGGGCAGTCACTTAATTAATTGAAAATGGTCAGAAAATAGAGGTGAGCAGCGTGTCAGTGAATGGGTGAGAAAGGGATAAGGCCAGGCTGCCAAGGGGCCTAGCTCGTGAGGGTGTTTTCTGTGCAAGCCTGACAACTCCAGTTTGATCCCTGGAACCCATGGAAGGCAACCACTGACTCCCCAAAGCCATTATTCCTTCCACATATGTCTGCATACGTACACACAGATTTTTTGTTTTTTTGTTTTTTTTTTTTAAAGAAAGAGATGAAAGGGAAAAGACATTGCCACTTTTAGTTTTAACTGTTTCCTGAAAATCATCAGCCTTGACAAGATACGTGGTGTGGAGGGGTAAGTTGCCCACTGGCCATTTAAACATATTGTTTCTACCTGTGCCAGGTGTGTGCAGACTCAGGATGCTGGCACTAGACAGTAATTCCACATTCCGCTCCCTGCTAGGCTTGTAGGAGAATGTGGTCATCTTGCCTTAGGAAACCAAAGGGTTCACAACTGTCCTTCCTCCCATTTCCCCCTTAATGTCTCTATTATACCAGATCTTGAGAGAGTGAGCATCCACGGTGATTGGCGTGGGTTGAGACAGTCCAAGTAAGTAAGATTGATCTGAAGCAGCCAGTGAGATGACTGCTTATGAAATCAAATGCTACATCAGCTTAATTTTCTCTTCTGTGGCCATGTGTGTAGAGAGAGGTATTTGTTGTGTGGCCCAGCAGAGCTTGTGGGTATGGATGTGCTGCTGCTGTTTCCATATAAGTAGACTGGCTAACTTCACTGCTTCTTCATTCCATGAGGACAGTGCTTCAGGGAAGCTAAGTTCTTGCTCACTGATACCCAGCTCCCTACAGCCAAGATGGCAGTCCCAACTCAGGTCCCATGCCACTGTACCCTAACGCTTAGAGAACTGTGTCCACATATCTCCTGTGGGGCCAAGGAGTCAACACGATGCTATGAACAGGAAGGAGAGTTCTAGGTGGGGGTCTTCAAGCATGTCTCATGTTCATGTTGACTTCTCCTTAGCTGCCTCTACCCTGCTCAGAGATTTGGTGCAGACTCCTGAACTTCTGTGCTCAGTGGAGAAATAATTTAAGTCTGGCTTCCAGGCTTGTAACTCGGGGGCCTCTTTTCCTGATACAGCTAGGCTAGAATTAGTTATTAGAGTATTTGTCTTTATTGCCTTTACTGCTCTCCTAACCATGACATGTCACTTTGGAGATGCTCAGTGCCAGCATTCTGGGCCGTCTTTATGATGGTGACAAGCATTCCCTGCCAGGTCTCCTGGTGTGTCCTCACAGAGAGCAGCAGAGATGCAATGCTCAGGTGAAGGTGGGGGCAGCAGAGCTTGAATCGCTGCAGGTGTGAGGTACAGTCTGTCAGGACATCGAGAAGGCCATTCTTCAAGTAGTGAGGCCCTGAACACAGTAGGAAGTTGCTGGGCCCAGAAGCCTAGAGACCTACGCTCTGCACCTGCTTCTTCAGCATGCTTGTTGTATTCTCTCTGACCTTCACTTTCTCGTGCGTTGGTGAAGTACCAGACTGCAAGGCATCCGGAATTCTTTAAGCTCAAGAATCTCTTAAAGTCAACCCTGGTCAGCTTTGGGACCCATTGAAGTGTATGTGACAGTACTAACTGCCTTTACTTACAGTAGGGAGAGAATTTGCATTCAGTGCCATGGCTTCAGGGTGGTAAAGTCTCTCAGCACAGAGCATACTGAACTCTGAAGAGGGTTTGGCAGCCATTTTGGACGAGAACATCACGAGAAGAAAACTTTAGGTCACCAGAGGAACTTTGAGATTTTAATTTCCAGTGCTGGAAATGCATATTTTAACTAGAACCTTTCCCTCTTGCTCCCCACCCCTCTTCTTTTCATCACAAGGAAATTGGCTTTCATGCTTCGCTGGCCCCGAGAACTCCCAGCGCTCATCACTTGGACCACAAGATGGAAATAAAACAGTAGGTAGAAAACAGAAGGTGAAGCAGTAGCCCTAAGTCTCTATCCTCTTCCCACTGACCGTGACTCATGCAAATGCTGCCATGCTCAGCTGTGGCCCTACTACCCCAACTTCCTGAGTTGCCTTCAGCCTGGATCATTGCCTTTTACTGTGGTGATGTCAGCAGCTGGAACCATGCCATCTGTAGACGTTTCTAGATATTGACACCATCTGTGTCTGCACTGCCCTTCTGCCTTAAACTTAAGCCTGCAGTACACTTAAAGTACTTGGTAGTGTGCTGTAAATGTGCTATGTGGGTGCATTTAAATGAGTATAGAACTGAGGTTTTTTATTTTGTTTTTTTTTTTAAACTACTTTCATTTTTTAATTTAGTTTAAAAATTTAAACTACTTTAAATAGCCACATATAATTGGTGGCTAAATGTTTAATGCTACTATTAAGTTTCATTAATTTTAACTCCTTTAAATAGTCACCTGTAGTTGGTGGCTTAGGCTAGGATGAAGGGGTTGGCTTTTTTTTTTTTTTTTTTTTTTTTACAGTGTATTTATGCTTTATTTGTGTAAGTTCTAGAAGTAGAATCTGAAAACAGTCTTCAGAGCTACGTGGAAAGAAAATGGGAAGGGCAGGAGCTCAGTGATAGAGAGTGTGTGCTTGGCATGCCCAAGGCCCCAGAATTTCCAGCCCAAATAGTGGTGGGGGTGGGGTGGCCTAGGATGCGGATGTAGGTTAATTCATTCTTTCAGAGGGTCCCTTACTCTTCCTACACACTTGAAGGCTGCTGTTGTATACAGGGCAGTGCCTTAGAGTAGCCCCGTGCTTGCTGGGAAAGGGAGAATGACCTATGACATCAGTGGCTTTGGCTTAGGCAAATTCCAGAAAGTCTAGGAAGCAGGAGACCCAGGATTTGCAACTCAGAAAAGTGTGCCAAGCTAACAGTGTCAGTGGGGAGTGGGGGATCTTCTGGGGCTTTGGTGGTGCCCGCAGCTTGGTTCATTTGGCTTGCCTGGGATGCAGGGGACTGGCAGGTGAGGGTTTGGGAACCAGTTGGGTGGCCTCTGGCAGTAGCCTGAGCATTCAGGACTTCGGGATCTACATCAGGATGCAGAACTCAAGAGACCCTTCTGTGGAGATTCAGGCTGCCTGTTTGGGATATCATGCATGTAGCTCACCGAGCCACAGCTGTCGCCGGTGACCTTTGGTTTCTGGCTTTTGTGTTTACTGACAGGCGCACGCATCTCATCCTCCTATTTTAACTAAGTTGCTTAAAAATGGAATGTCAGCTAGGCTTTTACTGCTAAAATGCTGTTTCCATCCATTTCTTGCATTGAGGGGAATCTAGGTAAGGGAACTCTAGGCAGCTATTGACTTAAGAGTGGTAACCTCTCTGGGGCTAGCTCTTGTCTTCCAGGCCCTGGTTACTGCACCTAAATTGGTGGTCACAAGCTTATGCAAAGGCTGGGCTGAGCCCAAAAGTCATTCTAGCAATGGTTGGCCCTTCAGATGTCAGGGGTGAGCCTCGTAAGTCTGATCTAATCCCTGTGCCAAGTGGTTGTGACGTGTCTGTGTTGCTGTGCTGCCTTCCAGGTGGAAAAAGTCCTTCCTGTGCAGCCTGGTGTTTGGCATTCCTGTCATGGGCTTGATGATCTACATGCTAATCCCCAGCAGTAAGCCTCACGAGACGATGGTCCTGGACCACAACATCATCCCGGGACTGTCCGTTCTAAATCTCACCTTCTTCATCTTGTGCACCTTTGTCCAAGTATGTACCGGAAAGCTGGGCAAGCCTCTGCCCAGGCACGGCTAATGGATCTCTGCTCTTTGACTGTGTTAACAGCCCTTTAGCTTGGCTCCAGCAGAACTTCATTATGCTGCCTCACCTCTGGGGAGCTGCCGCTGTTATTTCTGTCTTGTGACTAGGGGGAGGCTAGTCACAAGGGCGGCTGCAAATGTGGGAACTCAGAAAGGCCTGGTTTCGCTGTCACCTTCACAGATAATTGCAAGTGACTGAAACTTGTCAGAACAGCCACCCTCTCTTTGTAAGCTTGCTGAGCCTGTCTATCCATGGTGTGTGTGTGTGTGTGTGTGTGTGTGTGCGCTACACCTGACAAGACTCAGGACCTCGTACATGCAAGGCCAGTGTGCCATTACTCACTCACACCTCAAGTCCCCATTTCCCTAAAATTTAGTTTAGTTCACTTTTGTTAGAATTTTCAGATTGATGTCCCCAGAGCTCATGCTTCTCTCCCGTGTTCTTTCCCACAAGGCAATGCGATTGCCTTTGGGTGAAGTTACCATTTAACACAGCCAGGCTTTGTGGATCATCTGCTGTGCGTGCATGCATATATATGCATGGGGAATGTCTGCATTTTGACATCTAAAACTAGGACTATTTGGGGCTGAGCTAGGACAAACTAGGACATTTGTGGGCTGAGCTATTTCTGTATATTTTCTTTTTAACTGAAAATGTGCTTTGCCCATATTGTAAGTAATTGAGCAATATTGACGCAAAGGAAATGTACTCTGGCCGATTATACCCTCCTGTGGTCCAGTCTTGTTCCTCAGTAATGCTGCCATGTCTTGTATCTCTGTCATATCTCACCTTTGTAGAGAAAACATGTCTCTCCATCCCCCCCCTCTCTCTGTGGTGTGTGTGTAGGTTTCTGTGTGTGTATGCATGCTCATATGACACAGACACAGATGTTTGTTAATGCGAGTGGGGTCATGTGAGAGCACTAATGGATGCTGGCTTTTTTATTTGAATCATGGACATATTTTACGTTATTACTTTACCTTCTCTTTGGAGACCATTCACAATATAAGTGAGCCATCATCATAGCTACCATTGTCTTATTCTGGACATTTCCATGGTATGCCTGCGTTTTAAGTCTGATATCCTCCATCACCCATTTCTGTGGCCAGTGGTACTCTGAATGAGAAAGTGTGCTTCATGGGAGGCTGAGGCAGAGGGGGTGCCATCACTATCAGACAGTCCTCCAGAACAGAGGGATAGCAGATATGTCCGTGAACTAGAATGCTCACCATCGTGAGGCTGGATCTCCCCATTCCCTGTGCAACCCTTGCCCTCTCTGTCTTTCAGTTCCTGGGTGGGTGGTACTTCTATGTACAAGCCTACAAATCTCTGAGACACAAGTCAGCCAACATGGACGTGCTCATCGTACTGGCCACCACCATTGCCTACGCCTACTCCCTGGTCATCCTGGTGGTTGCAGTGGCCGAGAAGGCCGAGAAGAGCCCCGTGACCTTCTTTGACACGCCCCCCATGCTCTTCGTGTTCATCGCCCTGGGGCGGTGGCTGGAGCACGTGGCAAAGGTAGCAATGGCTTCGGGTTAAGAAAGGAGCTGTTCCTTCGGTAATCTGAGCCCCCCCCCCCCATCTGCAACTACTAATTACACCGTAGAGAAAAGCAAAGAGGAATCTGAACCCCGAGTAATTAGGGGCTCTGCAGTCACTAATCTGCCAGTTGGTTGTTTCTTTTGAAATCCCAGCTAATCTGGCTAATTAGTAAAACCTTTGTTGGGGTAATTGTGTAGAGGAATAAACCCTGAACTCCCTGCCAGAGCTCATGTGGGCTCTTAGTGCCTAATGGATTGTATTAGTTATTGTAGGAATCCGCACCTCCACCTCAGGGCAGGGTGATGGTTAGTGCTCTGCAGTGGAGCCTGTTAGAGGGGAAGGACATTGTATGGAAGGTGATAGAAAATGGCCTTCAGGCAGACTGGAACTGTTTTCACCTGAAATGGAATTCCAAGTGCTGCTTTGGCGGGGCTGGGCTGGGCTTTCCTTGTGACACTGGCATGTGAGGCAGCTGCTTTATCGGTGTGGCTGTCTTTTGCACCAGCCACCTTTGGCAGCACACTTTTGAGTGTCAGCCTGGGCTTGGACAGTCAGCTCTTATTCTTATTTCCTAGAGCAAAACTTCAGAAGCCCTTGCAAAGCTCATGTCGCTCCAAGCCACGGAAGCCACAGTTGTGACCCTTGGTGGGGACAATGTGATTCTCAGGTGGGTTGTGTCCATCAGCAGAGCCTGGATCTTTTCACATCACAGAGAGTGATCATCCTGTAGTTAATGACATGTTCAGGTCCCGTAGTCATTTGCCTGAAGCGCTGGCTTGTGCCTGCCTGCATTGGCTCCTGAATGCTCTCCCACATTCGAACCACTGACCTTCCTAAAGGTCTCTGTTGTACCAACCTGTCTTCACTGCTGTGTAGTGGAATGCTTCAGCAACTCCCTGCTCTCCTAGGATATAGTCTGCAGCCCTTGGCATGGCAGTGGGACTCTGCTAACAACTGTGCACTCCCCTCTTGAGCTTAGCCTCATCCGGTACTCGGTGGGAAGCAAGTGTAACCATCCCTCAGCATCCATGAAATTTGGTTCTAGGATCCTCAGTCAATAGGGGGCTATGAGACATAGATGCATAGGGCTAGCTGTAAATGGTCCAGCAGTTAGAATCTAGAACCCGGTCTGATTTTAGAGGAGAAGGATGTTATCTGCGAGCCTTCTGTTGCAGAGAGGAGCAAGTGCCCATGGAACTGGTGCAGCGAGGTGATATCATCAAGGTTGTTCCTGGGGGCAAGTTCCCAGTGGATGGGAAAGTCCTGGAAGGCAATACCATGGCAGATGAGTCCCTCATCACAGGTTAGGTGGCTTGTTGTATGTTCCCTTTGGCAGGTGTCATGGTAGTCATAGGTCCATGTGATGCTGAGGGTGCTGAGTGAGTACAGACTTTTGTCTCTTATTCTCCAGGAGAGGCCATGCCGGTCACCAAGAAACCTGGGAGCATAGTGATTGCTGGCTCTATAAATGCTCATGGCTCAGTTCTCATCAAAGCTACCCACGTAGGCAACGACACTACTTTGGCGCAGATTGTAAAATTGGTGGAAGAAGCCCAGATGTCAAAGGTAATGATGAACCTTAAAACACAGAGAAACCATTTCCTTTGAGAAATGGTCTCAAGGAGATTTAGCTCAGTGGGTAGACCACCAGCCTAGCCTACCGGAGGACCTGAATCCCGTCTCCAGCACTAACTAGAATGGAATGGAGCCGGACTCCTTAGAGTCTCAATTGGTCCAGAGGTGGAAGCTGAAAAGGCAGGACTTCAAGCTCACCCTGGGCCTTAGTCAGCTCCAGACTAGCTGGGTTACAGTAAACCCTGCCTCAAAACAAAACAAATGAGAAATGATCTCAAAGGTTCATAGCACCAAGTAGAGACCAATTCCTAAACATAGCAATGGAGGGGGCTCGGATCCAAACCGTTCGTTCACACGTCTGTCTTTGTAGGTTGTAACCTCCTGTGGTCTTAATGCTTTATTTTATAGGCACCCATTCAGCAACTGGCTGACCGGTTTAGTGGATATTTTGTCCCATTTATCATCATCATTTCAACCTTAACATTGGTGGTATGGATTGTCATCGGTTTTGTCGATTTTGGTGTTGTTCAGAAATACTTCCCTGTAAGTCGAATGCCTTGGACAGGGTGGTTGTCCCGCTTTCAGTAACTAACCTACTGCCATTAATCCTGTTCTTTTGTGTCTTAGATTCACTGGGCTGTAAATAGCCATTTTGTTGTGTTTGCTTCTTTTCCTTATTATCAGCAAAATCTCAGTCATGGTGGGATGACTGTGTACCCCTGAAGGTCATTATTGATGCTGCTCATTGAAGGTCAGGAGTACAGCTCAGTGCCAGAGTGCTCACCGAGCGTGTGCAAGGCCCTGGGTTCCATCATTGCACGGGTACCCATGTGCACAAATGTCCTTTGCTTTCTACTCAGAGACAATTTCCATGACATCATTTGGCTCCCAGCTGGAATGCTTTAAGGATCTACAATTTGCAATTTATTGACCATTTTGAGTTTACAAGACGTATGTTATAGAAGATAGACCACAATTTTGATGGCACAAGACTATGCTAGGTCTTAGGGGGGAAATGTTTTTTGTTTTTTTTTTTTTCTCTTTATAATCACTAACACCACTTACATTCACTAACACCAGATCTAATATCTTACCTTCTCAAGCAATAATGCTTATCGGCAAAGCCTCTTGATAATTAAACATTTATTTAACAGAAGAGTAAGGAGATGTACATTTTCTAATTTTAAGAAGCAGGTGAAGAACACTATCTTAGGAAATACTGTTTTATCAGACTTCAAAAATTAATGGAAAAATCAGTGTATGCTCAAAAGTATGTGCTTAAGAAACAAGAACTAATTCCCAAGGACACTTAGCAGTGTCTGAAGACATTGCAGTTTTCATGAATGGGGTGCTACATACATCTGACACTTGGAGGCCAGGTCAGGACCCCACAATTAAGAGGCCATGAGGACCCCACAGTTAAGAGGGACTGAATAGCTAAGGACCTAGCAATGCCACCAACTTCCGAATGGGTGGAGCGTCATTTCCTCTTATGACAGGGCTTATTTTAGTTTAGAGTCATGCAGTAAGGAACTAAAGACAGAGCCGGTTTCTTCTCTTAAAATGGTTTCTGCTTGAAGATACAGGTATATCAGGCAGGGTGCATGCCGTTGGCTAAGATGTCCTGTTCTCCCTCAGTGTTTGTATTTTAAGTTGAAAAGGTCTGAGGTCAGTGCTCTTGTCATCTAAGCAGCCCTCTCGCTCTCAGGAGCCACCTGTGAATGTGGCCCTGGAATCGGCAGCAGCTGTGCCCAGCCTGTCAGGGGCTCTGATTTTTGTGAAGTTGGGAGTATTCGGTTCTCTGCTCTTCCATGCTTTGCCTACTTACTGTGATTCTTTTGTTTTTATTTGCAAAATCAGTGTGTGCTGCATCACTGTGGCAAGAATGAATGACATTTGCAGGGAGGGTTGTGTTACTTTCCAGAAGTCTACCAGTGCCACTGAAATGGCAGGTGTCATTTTAATAAGAATGACTGTAAAAAAAAGAATCAGTCCATCTTTATCTCTTAAGATCACATATGTGTTAAGGAGTATGCCCTTTTACACTAGCACAGCAGTTTCTATGAAAATTAAATGACCTGTACAGTATACCTTATTTTAGAATGAAAGGATAAAGGATGTAAAGAAGTTGTAACTTGTGTTCTCAACTCAGAAAACACACTTTTATTGTAACGAGTGAGCATCCTGGCTCTTAGTATAATGCTCCACGACATTGCGAGAATGCAACAAGAGGAAGAGCCCAGACAGCAAGTAATAGTTTCACTTTGCGCCCCCGCACCGCACAGCAGACCTCTGCTTTTTTTGTCTGGGTGATGAAAGATGTTCAGAAGAGTAAAAGGGTAGCTGTAAGTTCTGTTACTAGGAGTGATCCCAGCATTACCCTTGGCAGCTTCCTGTGGCTAATACGTTAGGTGGAGAATTTACTAGCGTGAGTAAGACACAGCATGCTTCATCAGGTTCCACTCTGTCACTGACACTGTCCACATCAGTACATGGAGCTTGCACGTCATCTTTCTACAATCCCTAACAATCCTTCTACAATTCAGCCTATAGCTGAATTGACCAGTTCCCTTTAGGTTGTTCCCAGGTTTTGCTATTACAAAAAGAATGCAGTGATATCATCTGAACGTAGAGTCTTTGGAGAGCTACTAAGCTTTTGTAATAATGAAGCCAAAAATAATGAAGCCTTGGTGGTTGTAACCTCTAATCTGCTGGGCCGTTGCTGTTCTGTACAGACATCTGTGTGTGTGCCCAGACTGCCTCGTTTATAAGCACAAAGCACTTCGTGAGTTACTTCCATCACCATTTATAGCTGGGGAAGCTGGGGCAAAGAGGGGTGGAGTCGGCATCAGAGCTGGGGTCTAACCTCTGTGCTCTAACTCCTGAGACTGTGCTCCATCAGGGTCTGACATGACTGTTCCTGGTCCACCTCGCCTCTTTGGGGGAAGCTCCAGGGAGAAGTTGGGGCAGTAGGAAGTGGGTCAGTAAAGGCTTTTCTGGTACGGGAGCCGCACGGAATACAGTCATGTTCCCCAAACTCAGCTCACTGCGTCCTCAGCTCTCACTGGCCCCTGAGCTGGGCTCAGGTTCCACCTGATGTTTCTCTCTCTGCAGAACCCCAACAAGCATATCTCGCAGACAGAGGTGATCATCCGCTTTGCCTTCCAGACGTCCATCACTGTGCTCTGCATCGCCTGCCCCTGCTCCTTGGGGCTGGCCACGCCCACAGCAGTTATGGTGGGCACTGGGGTGGCTGCCCAGAACGGTGTCCTAATCAAAGGAGGCAAGCCCCTGGAGATGGCACACAAGGTGGGCCCCTGTCAGGTCCTGGCTGTTCTCTATGGGAGCTTGGATAGCAGCTTTTACAGAGTCCTTATAAAAACAAGGTCGCTTTACTGTTTGAGAGAAAAGCCTGGGAGCAAATGTTGAGGCCTGGAGTGGGAAGCTTCCTGGCAGTGACAGCAAAAGCAGCAGCGGCAGCTAGCTAATGGTTGTGCAGGTCATTGCTTCGTGGACATGCACCGACTCTGTCTCATGTGGCAGATGTGATTCATTCCCGTTTTATAGATGAAGAGGCGACAGCAGAAGCAGGTCAGGTAACCTGCCCAGAAGCCTGAAGCTGGTAACAGAGTTGCCTGCTCAGGTGTTGGGGATTAGCACAGCCCGGTGACTGGGGTGGAAGAGTGATGGTGTATAGGCTAGAGTGGTGATGCATACCTGTAGTCCCAAGCTGTCAGGGGGCTGAGGCAGAAGGATCATGAGTTCAAGTTGTACCTGAGCTGCTTAGTGAGACCATATCTAAGAAAACAAAAGTCTTTCTTTAGCCCAGCCCACTAGTCCACACTCCTATTCATTCTTCACCATTTGCCACACACTTACTGCACCATTAGTCATGGCTCCTAGCTTCCAAGGAACTTGCAACATATTGGGAAGGACAGGTATCCAAATACTGAGTATTAGGAAGACAGCTCCAACAGGACACTGTACTGGGGCCTAGCCTATTCAGGAGTCCTTCTAGCGCTGGTGGTCTGGGAAGTTGAGCAAGAGCTAGGCAGATGAAGTGGTAGTGGGGGTGTTGCTGCAGCAGGGTAGTAGGGGGGGAAGAGGATGTGAGAAGGCCATGCAGCTGTGTTGCTTCTAAGCTCCATGAAGTCCACCGTGCTTTTCCTCACCGTGTGACGCTGGTGTTCAGCCTGAAAGCACCTGGAGACATCTTGTTGAATAAACTTATGAGCAACTAGAAGAAATTCTGAGACAGAAAAAGTGTTGAGGGAAGGGCCAGGTATAAACACTAGAAGGATCACATAGTAGAGGAGGGTGCTCCTTTGAGCCACTCAGTTGCATGCCGGGAAAGTCAAGCTGGCTGTACAGTAAGGGTTGAGTATGGAAGGCTGGGATCTTTGGAGGGAGAAGATCAGTTGACAGTGGTGAGGGCAGAGGTCAGCATGACTTTGGAATTCAAACAGTGTATCTGCTGCTCTTGGATCCGGGCCTGAACAGAACGTCCTGCTGCCCTGTTTGATCAAAGGGAAGGGACAGTGAAGCTGTAGACTGGCAGATGGGTAATGGTTTCTTGGTCTTAGCAGTTGTTGCCTGCAAAGAGTCAGACTGAGGAGTTAGGGAGTTAACAATAGTTCCCTCCCTGCCCAAGGAAGGTTGGGAGAAGCTCTGCCTCAGGACATGGGTACTGTGAAAGCTGCTTCCATGTTAATTCCTGACATGAAATTGTTCTTGTAGATAAAGACGGTGATGTTTGACAAAACTGGCACCATTACCCATGGGGTCCCCAAAGTCATGCGGTTCCTGCTGCTTGTGGACATGGCTTCACTGTCCCTCAGGAAGGTTCTGGCTGTGGTGGGCACCGCAGAGGCCAGTAGCGAGCACCCCTTAGGTGTGGCGGTCACTAAATACTGCAAAGAGGTAAGCAGACTTGGCATTGCACCGCCTCTCTCTCGTCAGCCTTGTCCTCCCTTACCTTGCCACATGCTTGCTTAGCTGCCTTGCAGGAGGTCTTCTCTGGTAGACGGGGCTTGCACTGGCCCTATCACAGTTATTTGTAGAACAAGTGGATAACATCAGGCTCAGGGCAGAGTGAGTGAGATGGGACCCCTTTGCCTTCTGAGAACCCAAGTCAGAGGCAGGGGGTGAGGGGTACTCTTTTATATGACTAGGGTGAGTGGACACAGCGTTCATTAGAATTACCTGGGAAAAGCCCAGACTTGAGGGGTTTTAGAGAATCAGTGTACCCTGCCTTCTGTCCTAGAGCAGGTTCTGTTTCTTGGAGGCAGTGGAGTGGATCAGGGACTATGCTGACAGTGTCTCGATGGCTTGAGCAAAAATTTATCATTGATGTACCTCAGAAAAACACTGATAAGGGGATGTAAGAGAAATTCCATTCGGTGCTTGTCTCTCATGGGGGGTCAGCACACTGCTGTTTGACATCCATCCATATGGGCCAGGAGGAAGACTTACGCTTGCTTGCTGATCCGATGACTTGCACCACTCCTGATCCCTTCCCTGGGTACCACATGTGGGCAGTGATCCATCTGGCAGCTTCACAATAGCCTTGCCATTCACCACTTACACATTCTCATAATGTCATCACTTCCAGCCTGGAAATATCTGTGTGGTCTGAGGTGAATGGACCCTTCTCTTAGAGCGGTGGCCTGCCGGGTCACGAGGTATCCACCTGGGGGGATTTAGCTGTCGAGCCTGGTTCAGGTTGACCACCAACCCTGACTCCGATAAGGGGTTGCTTGCTTGCTTGCTGAGCTCATAGTGTGTTTCCCCACCTTTGCCTTTCCTCCCTCCTCCCTCTCCTGTCTTGCTGCCCTCACCCATCCAGTCTCTCTCCTGCTTCCACAGGAACTTGGGACAGAGACCCTGGGATACTGCACAGACTTCCAGGCGGTGCCAGGCTGTGGAATTGGCTGTAAAGTTAGCAATGTGGAAGGCATCCTGGCCCACAGCGATGCGACTGGGCACCTCAAGGGGGTAGGCCACCCTCCCACGGGAAAAGGTATTCCTTACTTGGTCCCTCCTGGATCTCTTGTGGCCGGACCCGTCTTGGGTGAGAGTGGTAGCGAGCCAAACCATGCCAGACCCACCTGTGGGATTTTCCCTGCTGTAGCCATGGGAGGCTGATGGCTGGCCACCCCGTGCCTTGCCTACCCCGGGAATGCCTGCTGCTTCTCTTGCATGCTTTGCTAAGTCTAAATTTTTTAATCTATTTTGTTTGGCTTTTTGGCTTTGTGATGAGTTTTGCTGTGTGAGTTTCCAACTTGGGACTCCCCCCTCAGCCTTCCAGGTAGCTGAGGTGATAGTGTATAGTACTGTCCCTGGCTTGATGCCTCAAGACTGATGCTTACAGAGGCCAAAGTGGCATAGGACTTAGATCCATAGTTAGTCCTCCCCTGGAATTTCATCTTTCTTACTCCAAATTGACTTTTCTTCCCATAGCTACAGGGTAGCAGGTGGTACCTGCTTTTGTCCTTCCTGTTTCTTTCCCACCTGGGTGATCTCCAGTGTGCTGCATAGTGTTTTCAGAGCTCATCAAAAGCAAGGGAAGTGGAAAATAGTCTGTCTACACCAAGAAAAGACCCTGCTCAGTGGCAGGTGCTGCTTTCAGTTTATTATTATTATTATTATCATTATTGACAAGGTCTCCCGGTATAGCCTGTACCCCACCTTGTCTGCCTGGCTGCCTTCCTAACTTCCTTCTTCATTCCTCTGTGTATATGGTGTGTGCATAAATGTGTTCATGTATGTGTGTGTGTGTTTCAGGGGCATGCTTATGTGTGTGCATGCAGAGGCCCAGGCATGTTGTTAGGTACCCTGTTCCATCAACCTCCAACTTATCCCTTGGAGGGTCCCTTGCTGAACCTGAAGCTCACTGTCTTGGGCTAGGCTGGCAGGCCAGCAAGCTGCAGTGATTTTCCTGTCTGCTCCCTCCTAGTTCTGAGGTACAGGTGTGCCAGGTGGCCAGGCTTTTACTACATTAGTGTGGGGTAGCCAAACTCAGGTTCTCAAGCTTGCCTGTGAGCCATCTCCCTGGCCTGACATATTTTATCTGAGGACATTTTCTAGCCATTGCATTCAACTGGTAGAGAGGGTGTCAAATGCCCCCAAATGCTTAATCTTTATTCAGGAGATGTTATTAGATGTCCTGTGCTGCCTTTTAAGTTGAGAGCTCTCAGGTGCCTTTTCCGTTAGACCATCCAGAAGCTGGGTAGTGTCTCATCAGGGGCACATGCTGTTAGAAAGTGGCAGATGAAACGCCACCTGTGCTTTCTGGAGGCACAGTTTTAGAGTATGTCATAGAGGCTGGCTGTGCTGCACGCCTGCAGTTCCAGCGCTTGGGAGATGGGGCAGGGCAGGAGTACGAGGCCAACCTATACTACATTGTTATGGAAGATTCCAGCAAGCAAGAATCAAACACACACACTCTCTCTCTCTCTCTCTCTCTCTCTCTCTCTCTCACTCTCTCACTACATTACAGCGAACATTACAGCAAGCAAGAATCAAACACACACACACTCTCACACACAGACACTTTCTTACAGCTTTTATAAATCAGATAATGGGAAGTCTTTGAGCTCCATGCCCACCAAAAAGGAGTTTCTTCACAGGCTTGGTTACCGAAAGAGAAATTGCAGAAATAAATATCTCTGCAGGTGGGTGTTTTACAGGTAGCAATAACATATGCAGACATTTGCAGGTGGCAACAAGAAGAATTCCTCTCTCAGCACGTAGGACCTACAGTGTGGCCTTTGCACAGAGAACTTCAAGAGTCACTTCTTCAGGTGCTCTCTGCACATGCCTGTCTTTCAAAGATAAGGACTAGGGGCCTCATGGTGCAGGAAGAAAATCGGGATGCTTGAGGCGAGACTTTAACCCACACTGCTTCTTTGAACACAATCATAGATTTTAGGCATGAATTTCTAAGTTTCTGGGCTGTCATCATACACAGCAGACATTTGATTTTGTTAGATGCATACATAGAAGTACTACATACATATTTGTGTCTCCTCATCTCATCAATATAAGACACTGTCTCAGAAGATAGTGTGCATATGTATGAAACAGACTTACCTGATTTTGTTGATTCCCTTTGGGCCATCTATAATCTAGTTAACACATTCTTTGGTCTGACCTAAAAGGCCAGCCTCCGACCCCTAAAAGAAAGAATCAGAAGCTGGAGAGATGGCGCAGCTATTAGGAGCTCCTGCTTCTCTTACGGAGGACCCAGGTTCTGTTTTCAATATCCATGGTGGCTCACGACCATGTGTAACTCTAGTTGCGGGAGATCTGACACCTTCCGGCCTATGTGAGCATCAGGCATGCACACGGCGCACGAACATACATGTAGGCAAAATATTCATTTGCATAAATTGTCTTTAAAAAATTTCAGCAAGTGCCTCCAATAGTAGGTTGACAACATTTTCACACATGTAGAACACATGAAACACTCCATTAAACTCATGTTGGTGTTCCTCATAGTGTGTATCTTCCTGGTCCTTCAAGGAGAATGTCACAAGAGGTCAGAGAACAGTCAGGTGTGAGGTTGGACTGTCTGAGAGTAACCAGCTCCTTCTGAACAGGTGAAGCCCCCCAGACCTTCTCCGTGCTGATTGGAAACCGGGAATGGATGCGGCGCAATGGTTTAAGCATCTCCAGTGACATCAGTGACGCCATGACAGATCACGAGATGAAAGGACAGACGGCCATCCTGGTGGCTATTGATGGTAATCTCTGTCTGGGATTAGAGCAGAGTTCACTCTGGTCCATAAGGAAGCCCACTCTGCCTCTTTCCTTCCTGTTCCCACTCCCTCCCCCCCATTTTCTATCATTTCTTTTCCTTCTTGTCATCCCTCTTTCTCTCTTCCTTTTGCTTGTCATTATTTTTCTTTCTTTTTTTTATTTTAAAAACTATGTCATTCTTTCTGTTAATTTGAGGTTTTCTAGGTTGTCTTGCTGTCTTTTCATATGATCTCTTCTCTTTTAATTATCTTTTATGTTTGAGATTATAATATGGTTATGTCATCTTCCCCTACTCTTTCCTTCCTTCAAACTCTCCAGCATACTTCTCCTTGCTCTCTGTCAAGTTCATGCAGTTTTTGTTGTTGTTGTTGTTGTTGTTGTTACACGAATATATGTATATGTTTCTAAATATATAAGTACAGCCAGCTCAGTCTGTATATTGTTAAATGTATGCATGTTTTCAGGGCTGACCATCTGGTACTGGATAACCAGTTGGTGTCTCTTCTCTGGGGAAGGCTAGTTCTCCGACTCTCTAGTTCCTTGAATGTTGAGGCTCTTCCTTTGTTGCCATCTCCATCTTGATCCAGCACCAGCTCTGCTCCTAGAAATCTCAAGTGCTTCCTGGTGTCTTTGCTTCTATCTAAGGTGGCAATTCAAGTCATCCCTGTCACTCATTACTACAGACAAAGCAGGAGTTCACTTCCCCAGAGGCCTCACAGCAGAGGCCTCAAAGTGAGGCAGCCCCTGCAGCTTCCCACCATCTGACTCGCAGACTGATGCGGGTTCTCATGACTCGAGGTGTCTTTGCACTCAGAGTACACCGGGCTGTATGCCTGAGAGACTGGAACTTTTGCCTTGTTCACTTCAGTGTTGCTTATTAGAAGTAAAACTGATTTGAATAAAAATAGTTTACAACACTGTATTCTAACTACTCTAGCCAAATATACCTTCCTGCCCCCTAATCCTTCCAAACTGTAGCCTGCCACCCCTTACAGAGAATCAGGGTAGGTAGAGGCTCTATGCTCTGCTGTATTTTCTCACCATGTCACACCTCAGCTATAGCACTCCTCCTCCTGTGTCTAAATATATTATACAAAACATGCTTTCTATAGGAAGAGATGAAAAGGAAGGACCATTTCTGGGTTAGTTGTCTGCCACTATAAGCTGCATTTGTATATTTCTTGTATTTTAATAACAAACATTCTCTGGGTTCTTAGCGTGCCAGAGATACCTGGCAAAGTAATATATGTTCCTGATGGAAACTATAAAAATGTGCGCAGGGCTTTAGAGGGTGTGAGGGTCTTCTACCCCTTCAGGAGCCACTGTGCACATTTGCCTGTCCTTTCCATGGCTGAAAAACAAAAACAGAACCCAGACATCAAATCACGTACTTTGAGGGTCATTTCCTGTGGATGAGCATGTGTGGTGAAATCCGTCATCACAAGTCCTGGTGTCTTGCTGGCAGGAAGCTTCCTGGCTGGCTGGTGCTGACCGCTGGTGCTTTGTTTCAGGTGTGCTGTGCGGGATGATCGCCATCGCGGATGCTGTTAAACCAGAGGCTGCCCTGGCTATATATACACTGAAAAGCATGGGTGTGGATGTGGCTCTGATCACCGGGGACAACCGCAAGACAGCCAGAGCCATTGCCACTCAGGTATGGCAGTGGCCAGACATTTTTTTGTCCTTAAAAATTGCAGACAAGCTCACAGATGCAAAAAAATAAATAAAAATAAAAGCAACCTAAGCATCTGGCATAAAAAGCAGGCCTTTGATCAAAGCACTCTGAGGCAGAGGCAGGTGAACCTCTGTGAGTTCGAGGCCATTCTGGCCTATATAGTAAATTTCAGTCAGCCACAGCTACATAAAGACCTCTCAAAACCAAACCCAAATAAACCAACAACAACAACAAAAATCCAAGCCATCACTTAGGCATTGTATGACAGGAGTGCTTTTTTGGTTCAGCCTGCTTGTGGACCGAGTTGAATGACTTGATCTTGACCCATTTAGTTCTGAGCTTGGGCATGAGGACAATATTACTGGATGGCAGCCTGTCCCCGTAAGCCATGGCTCCGGTGTGAATTCCTGCACCTTGTACTTCCACCGCTGCACACCCTACTCCAAACAGCCAAACATACGCAAAGCTGTGGAAGCCCGATTGCCGCTGTGGATCTGCTTTTGTTAAACTCTCACCTGCATGAGGCGTTGATTCCCTTCCTTTTAGGTCGGCATCAACAAAGTCTTCGCTGAGGTACTCCCTTCTCACAAGGTGGCCAAGGTCCAGGAGCTCCAGAACAAAGGGAAGAAAGTAGCCATGGTGGGAGACGGGGTGAACGACTCCCCAGCCTTGGCCCAGGCCGATGTGGGCATTGCTATTGGGACTGGCACAGATGTTGCCATCGAAGCAGCAGACGTGGTTCTTATCAGAGTGAGCTCGGCTGTGCCCAGGTCACGGGAGGGGCTGGGGTTGGCGTGAGGCCATTATTCAAGTGTGCTCCTCTCCTCTAGAATGACTTATTGGATGTGGTGGCCAGCATTCATCTCTCCAAGAGGACTGTCCGGAGGATACGGGTCAATCTGGTGCTGGCATTGATTTATAACATGGTTGGGATACCTATTGCTGCAGGTAGGTAGGGGCAGGCTGGCCATTCCTGGTCCTGAAAGTCCTGGGAGGGCCCCACGGCCTCATTCACTCTGGTCCGCTGTAGACAGCTGAGTGAGAGGCTTGGCCGTTCATTTAAGGTGGCCCAATTCTCTGAAGCTTTATTAAGACATACAGTCTGTAAGTGTCATGGAGTGTGTTTAAGGCACCTGCTATGCCGGACATAGTGGCTAGTGTCTCAGAGCCCATCTTACAAATGAACCATGCCCAGCTCTAGCCTGATCCCCACAAATGACCTGAAGAGAAAAGGTACTCTGCTTTGTAATTGCCCTTCCTCTCCTTCTGCCAAAAGTAAGGAACCAGGCAAGGGAACATTCCAAACACTTCTTTGTAGGCTGAAAGGATCCAAAGGTTTTTTAAATTACATTTTATATGTGTGTGCATCTGTGTGCCCAAGTACATATATGTACACATACGGAGGTCACAGGACTTCCTGCCAGAATCAGTTCTCTCATTCTTTTATGTGGGTCCCAGGGAACAAACTTGGGTCACTAGGCTTGGCAGTAATTTCCTTCGCCCATTAAGCCGTCTTGTTATCCCCTGACCTAAAGTTCCTAGGCACGGCTTTCCTGCCTCAGTTTCTCTGTTCTGTCCAAGTGGTTAGTGGTCACTTCAATAATAGATTATCCAGTCTGCTTCAGCCTCCTGAGTCCAGAGGTCAGATAAGTGCTTTTCCGTTCCCAGAACCAGCTCAGGAGCTTCACTCCCTCCTGAGTGTCCTGGGGCTGTTTGAGACCTGGCTTTCCCTAGAGACTAGGTTGCTATCATTGTAGACGAGGACCCTGACCATCCACAGAGTTTGTCCCCTGCAGTGGGTGGTGCTACCTGTGTATCGTTCTAAGCAGGAGGAGCAAGAGGGTCCCTTCTCCCCTTCGCAGCACCTACTGCTGGCTTGGTCTCACCTTGGAAGCTGGTGGGCATAGTGTCTCCTAAGTTCCCTGAGGACAACTCTCAGCAGTATTCCCGGGCCGTCAAGTGACATTTGCCATTTTTTTTGGCAGGTGTCTTCATGCCCATTGGCATCGTGCTGCAGCCATGGATGGGCTCGGCGGCCATGGCAGCATCCTCTGTGTCTGTGGTGCTCTCCTCACTTCAGCTCAAGTGGTGAGTCCTGGGCCTGGAGCACTGCCGGGGCCTGCAGGCTCCACCATGTATGTTTGCTGTGGGTAGAGGTACACTAGCAGGCCTCCTGGTTCTTGTTCCCCATTATTTACCTGGGAGCCACATAAAAGGCATGAGTGGGGTTTTGTGGTGATTTTTCAGCCCCCTGAACAAGTGACTGCCCACCTACCACTTGTAAAAGGCTGGGCCTTTCTCAGGATCTGTTTATATGAACGCATGAAAGTATACGATCCATGTGCATTACCAGTTTTTCTCCTTAACGAAGATGTTCATGGACTAGGAATACAGATCACTGGTAGCACACCAGCCTAGCACGTGCAAGACCCTGGGTTTAGTCCCTAGCACCGCCAAGACAGAAATACGTGGATTTATTTATTTATGCATTCATTTAACAAAAGTGAGCGACAGCCTAGTATGTCTGGGTATTTACACCAAAAATTTCTGGATCTGGTGAACTTGAACCATGGAAATTCAGTGTCCTTTCTCTTCAGAACCCATAAAGTTTTATTATTTGTGTTACTGAAAAACGTAGATTTCATCAGAGAAAAGGGGCCTTTGTCCAGAGTGATTCAAGCACTCCTGCGTTCTTGCCTTCCAGCTATAGGAAGCCTGACCTGGAGAGGTATGAGGCGCAGGCCCACGGCCGCATGAAGCCCCTGAACGCATCCCAGGTCAGCGTGCACATCGGCATGGATGACCGACGGCGGGACTCCCCCAAGGCCACACCGTGGGACCAGGTCAGCTACGTGAGCCAAGTGTCTCTGTCCTCCCTGACATCAGACCGACTGTCTCGGCATGGTGGTCCAGAAGACGACAGTGGGGACAAGTGGTCCCTGCTTCTGAATGACAGGGATGAAGAGCAGTGTATCTGAGAGCTGTGGGTGGCAGCTTGGCCAGGCCAAGGTGCTCCTCCTAGGTGAGCCTGCATCAACTCAGTATTGTTGAGCTGGCAGGTGCGGCCTCAGCAGGCAGCAGCGATTGGAGGGGTGATGGGAGCTTCTCATGAGCCCTGAGCATCCTTCCCAGCAGGGCGGGGTTAACTCGCCTGGTGTGTCTGCGGAGGCTGGGTAGGACTGCTCTGTCAGAAGCCTGCTGGGGTGGGCAAAGTGCACTCACTGCTCTCCCTGTTTTCCATGAGGGCAAGGCCACCCGTTGCTTGGATTCCAGTACCGGAGAGGAGACCAGTGCTCTTCGCAGAGCCCTGCCTGCTATAATTGCACGGACTAGTTATGAAATGAGAAACAGCCTCGTCAGGGCCAAGAGCCTAGCTGAGGCCCCCGGAGAGCTCCGTTCAGAGCTTTCCCACAAAGCCTGGATCTCGGCAGCACACACAGGCCATGGAAGCCCAAGGATACCTCAGAGGAGCCTGCTGTTTTCTGCCTTGTGCCTGCCCTCTGTCTTCTGAGGGCAGAATTCATCTCTTGCGTCAGATGCTGTGGCTCTTGCCTATCCACCTGCCTAAAGGTGGCTCCCTGGATTGCACCCCAACCCAAGAGCTACCAGACATCCCTCTTTACTCTGAGGAGAGAGTTTCGTCTTGCTTAGAGCCACTTCTGTAAACTCACACATGCTGCTCCCAGCCAGCTGGAGGGAAGCCTCGAGCCTGACCAGAGTCCATTTTCCTGTGGGACCCGTGTCTTTGCCACCCAACATACCCTATATACCTGTGGTGCTTAAAGCAGTGTCCCTTGGGAGTTGTATGCCTAGGGAAACCTTGTCGCCTAGTGGGGTCCAGTGGAGTTCGTCACAAATGCCTTGTGTGTTTGCCTGGAGGGAACTGTCCCATCAGAAGAGTGAGGTTCTCTTGAGAGTGTTGTCTGCTGCTGAGGGCACATCTAAGAGAGACATCCACAGCTCCCCAGGGAAAAATGCTTCTGTCATCAGTGACTATGTTTGGGTGGCATCAGAGCTCAGGGATGGTCCAGCAGACTGGCAGGATCAGACTACTTTCATCTGTGACACACAAAAATAGTCCCTGTATTGGATGTCACTTATTGGCCAGGGCAGTGTTAGGACTCTCTGCAGGTGACTCATTTCTCCCCCGACCCCCAAAGTAGCCCAGTAGCTATCTGCATTTTAAAAACGAGGGCCTCAGGAGGGCCTCAGCGTCTTCCCAGGAACTCACAGCCAGCGTGCAGTTCTGGTGGCTCTGAAGGCTTTTCTGTGCTTCTGCTGCTGCCTTAAATATCAGTTTGCTTGCTGAGAGTGAACTGGACAAATGTCCTTTGGCCTCTGGACGAGCAAATGTGCCAGGTGCATTAGTTGTATCAGTTTAGAGTGCAGTTGGTCAGGAGGTTACTAACCCTCACCCTGAAAGGTTAGTTTCAGTTTTGCGTATTAGTGTTTGCTGAGTTTTATCTTCTAGAATCCCAAGTGCAGGGATTTGGCTCTCGTTGTTTTCAGCCCTCCACCCCCTCTCCAGCAACCTTTTCCAGAGACCTCCCATCTCCACCCATTCTGTCCATAGCTTTGTTTTGGAATATGGTAATCATTTTCTGAAGAATCTAATCATATTGATTTTTAAGCCTTCTAAGAACATAAGCATCATGTTCATATGTAGACCGGAAAATGTTTATCTAATTGTACAAATAAATGAGTGAATGAATAACGTACTTTTTCGATGTTCAGCGAGTCAGGAATATTTTATGGCCAGAAAACCGTTCCACCTTCAAAACCTTTCCGTAAAGTGTGGGGATAAAGTTGCATCTTCTCATCCAAGAGTTGTCGCCTGCGGCTTGCTCAGTCTGCATGGGCAGCTCACGCTCCCTGACTGGCGAAGACTTCCTTGGAGGGGCAGAGGATAATAGGATTCTAGCGTGGGCACATGAGGTGGTGGGAACCTACTGCCTTGCCCTGGTCTGAGCCGCTGAGGGCCACAGGCAGCTGCCAGAGTGGCCTTCAGGACTGCTGAGAAGCCCTCGTGGAAGTCACTGCCCCAGTAGGCTTGACTCACGGCCTTTGACTTCCCCCTGAAACACATGAGTGATCAGCAAGGATATGCTTTAGGACCCTTGCCTTGAGAGGATGGGGTGGAAGAGTAAACCAACCAAGTCAGGGCTTCCGTGGGGAAGTTGTGTGGGATCCTGGTGGCCGGGGACCCTACTGGTGTAATGTGTCCTCCAATGCAGGACACTGAGGAGTGGAAGGATAAGGTAAGGAGAACTAAGCTGATGATGTAATCCTTTTCCAAGGGCCGTGTGTTCCCCTGAGCTTGTTCATTGGTCTCTGGCACCCCCTAGAGGACTTTATCGACCAGGCATGGAGTGCCCATGCCCTGTTAGAAGGATGTAGCAAGCTCCCCTAAAAGGCTTCCTGAGGCATCAGGTGGATTCCCAGCCTCTTCCAACCCTGATGAAGTGAAGAATTATGATGGTGTTACCTTTATAACAAATGAATGATAATTCTAATTTCTAATGGCATCTGAAAATTGGCATGTCAAAAAATAGATCCCTAAACTATTGTGCTAATTTCATAAGGAACTCAGATTAATTAAGGTGACTTTCACGTTAAGAAAATCCAGGCCAGACTAAATTCATCCAATCATAATTTAATTAGAGAACGATTACTTGATTAAAGAATTTGGAGATTATTGGGGGCTTTAAAAACCCATGTTGGGGCTAGTATGGTAGGTTCAGTCCCCAGTACAAATAAAATAAAATGGGATTTCCTAAGACAAATTCCCTAATGTATATAAAGTCACTGAATTATAAGAGGTTTATTTATATACACCCATAATTCCATCTTTCCTTGGAGCACATACATAAAGGAATTCAGTAAGTGGCCTGCCGGTTCTTTTTCCTTTGCAGGTGTGTGTGTAGACTGGTTTGGGACTGGTGGAAAAGGAACTGCTCTGTTTAATTTTCACACTGGGCTTGGGCAGGGCTGGAAGCACCATAGTCTGGGGTCATTTTGTGAGGAAATGTCTACTGTCTGCCCTTGTCCTTTGTGTGAAGACAATGACAACAACTGAAATTACAGAATAGAACATAAAAAGGTCAGGTAATAGTGGGAAATCCCCGAGTTGCCTTTCTTCTATTCAAAAAGTTGAATAAACAGAAATGTGAAAGCTTTTATTCAAGAACTGAAATGAAAATAAGATTGACCAGAACCTAATGTTTTTTTTTTCAATGAAGTAGAAATGGCTATTACATTTTCCCAACATAAATAAATCAGGCCAAGCGGGTGTAATGTGGGTAGAGCTTTTGCCTAACATGCATAAGACCCCTGGTTTGAGACCAGTGCCACCAAAACCCTTAAACTTCTGCAGCAAAAGTTCTAAACATAGAAATAGAGAAAGTTGGTGGGAAAGCTGCCCCATAACCCACCCTGGCTTCAGGAGGAAAGCTCAGGAGCAGGGTTTTGTAGAGCAATATCCTTTGTCTTTGCGGGTGGAAGCATCCAGACACAGATGTGGCAGAGTGTCTGTGCTCCCTGTGGTCTAGCCTTGACCAGCTGCAATGAACACAGAGATGATGCAGTGGCCTCAGGAAGGACTACCTTTTACGTGCTGTAGGCCCCATCTCTCATGTGCCTCTCTCTGGTCCTCCCAATTCTTAGAAACACTATTTGCATAACACCGTTTTCACTGATGGGAGCCATGAATCAGCACTGTTGAAGTAGCTGCCTGTGAGACAGCTGGGTGCACCCACCTGTGGCCTGTCTCTGTGGCCTCAGAGCTCACGATTTACTATACTCCAGGTGGAAGCTCCTCCAAGGGCAATGCTGGGCCCTCCTGTTCGGTAGAGAGGTGTCTGTCCTTTGGCAAGACAGGGCAATTTAACTTGAGAGCCACCAGATGTCTCTCTGCCCAAACAACATTCCAGCCCACAGCCAGAACCCAAGTTCTCATTATTATTTTTAAAACGTCTGGAAACTGATGGTGAAAGAAGAAAGAAGAGCCTGAGAAGGGGAGTTAATGATGATGAAGAAAGGAAGAAGAGGAAGAGGAGGGGGAGGAGGAGGAGGAGGAGGAGGAGGAGGAGGAGGAGGAGGAGGAGGAGGAGGAGGAGGAGGAGGAGACAATTGTCAGAGAAGGTGAATGTGAAGCTGGGGTCCATTCCTCCCTGGTACCTGAGCTCCTCTAAACTTCTCCATCTTTAACATGCCTCTGAAACCTAACCTCACCGAATTTGTGAAGTCTGAGTACATGTTGAGGTGCTACCATGGCTGTCATATCTGTCATATCATATCTGAGGTATGTATTGTACAGGGTGATAAACAGGAATCTGTTTGTATTCCTATGTACACCTGTTCAGTTGGACCAGCACTATTTCTTGAAGTTGTCATCCTTGTCCCTTCCCCCTCAGTATGTATTTCTGACCTTTTTTTTTTTTTTTTCAAAAAGCAAATGTCCATTGGTGAGGGGACTTATTCTGGATCTTCAGTTATATTCCATTGATCAACCTATCTGCTTTTATGCCTATACTAAGCTGTTTTTATTACTATAGCTCTGTAGTACAAATTAAGATCAGGGATGTTCTTATTCAGGATTATTTTAGTTATCCTGGATTTTGTGTGTGTATGTGTCCGTGTGTTTTCCAAATGAAGTTGCGAACTGTTTTTTCTTTTTTTAATTTCTGTGAAGAATTGTTTTGGCATTTTTGATGGGGATTGCATTGAATTTGTAGATTGTTTTGGGGAGGATGGTCAGTTCCACTGTATGAATTCTACTGATGCAGAAACATCCTTCCATATTCTTGTGTCTTCAGTTTCTTTCTTCAATGTCTTAACGGTTTCATTACACAAACCTTTCACTTGAGTGGTTAGAGTTATACCAAAATACTTTTTGCTGGAGGTATGCTGGGGCTGTTATCGTGAAAAGTATTGTTCCCTTATTTCTTTCTCAGTCTGTCGTTTGTAATAAAAAGGCTGCTGGGCTTTGTGTATTTTGTTTCCTGTTACTTTGCTGAAAGTGTTTATCACTTATAGAAGTTTCCTGGTGGAGTTTTTACATCTATGAATAAAGATGCTTTGACTTCTTCCTTTCCTGTTTTATCCCCCCGATCTCCTTCGTTGTCTTATTGGTTGGGTTAAGACTTCAAGTACTGCATTGATTGAACAGGTGTGGAGCAAGTGGACTACCTTGTCTTGTTCCTGGTTGTTCCTGGTGGAATTGCTTTGAGCTTTTCTCTGTTTAGCACATAGGCTTATTATATATTGCCTTTTATCATGTTGAGATATGCCCCCTGTATTCCTAGTCTCTCCAGGACTTTATCATTAAGTGATGTTGGATTTTGTCAAAGACCTCTTTTGCATTTAATAGGAGTTATGTGAGGGATTATGTTTATAGTTTGTCTGTATGGAACCATCCCTGCATCTCTGGGATGAAGCTTACTTGATCATGGTAGATAATCTTTGATGTATTCTTGGATTGGGTTTCCAGATATTCTATTGAGAATTTTTGCTTCTTTGTTTCATAAGGATCTCTAATTTCATTGATGAGTCTTTGTGTGGATCTTTTATAGCAGGGTAAATTTGTCCTTTTAAAAAGAATTAGGCAGTGTTCCGTTTCTGTTTTGCATAATAATTTCTGGAGTATGGCATCAATTATTCTTTGAAGATCCTGTAGAATTCTGTGCTGAATTCATTTGGCCTAGCCACTTTTTGTTTGTTTGTTTGTTTTTGTTGTTGTTGCAGGGCTTTGAATGACTGCTTATGTTTAACTAGGGTAATGGTTCTACAGCTTCCTAATGCTACAACCCTTTAATACAGTTTCTCTTGTGGTAGTGATCCCCAATCATAACTGTCATTTTGCTATTGTTATGAATCATTATGTAAATATCTTATGTTTTCTGATGGTCTTAAGAGAGCCCTGTGAAAGGATCATCGATTCCTCAAAGGGATCATAATCCACAGGTTGAGAACCACTGTACTAGGGGTTTTAGGTCTGCTCAAATTGGTCATCTGATTTTAATTTAACCCTGGTAGGAGATATATATATATATATATATATATATATATATATAAAATTATCCATTTCTTTTGAGTTTTCCAGTTTGGTGGAATACAGATTTTTAAAGTCTGTATGACCTTATTATTCTCTGGATTTTATTGGTTTCTGATGCGATGTCCCCCTTTTTTTGTCTCTCTTTTTATTGATTTGTATCTTCTCTCTGTGTCTTTTGGTTAAGTTGGCTAAGGATTTGCCAATCTTACTGATTTCCTCAAAGAGCCAACTCTTGTCATTGATCTAGTTCCTGGTTATCTGAACAGGTTACATCAACTCAGAAATTCTCAGCCTGCTAACTCTGATATCAAATCTGCGTGGTTTCCTGCCAAGCTGTTGTCCATTATTCTTGGAAACGGCTTGGCAGTTTGTTTCCCCAGTAAGCTTTTATTTCTGTCCATGAAGCTGTCCAGTTCAGTAGCTTCACTGTGTCATCACAGCTACTTGCTTGGGATCCGGATTCCTGGTGCTCTCCATTATGAAGTGGTAATTCCAGACTGCTGGGATGAGCTTCCTGGGTGGGAATTTTCTTTTGGGAAGGCAGACCTAGCAGGGTTTTAAGTACAGGGTTTGTCCCCCCTATCTACTAGAAATTAGATTTAGTGGCTTCCTACAGATGCTGTAAGCAAGGGCTCCTAGACGCCTAGGAGAACAGAGCCCAGGTCCATCAAACTCATTATTGATCTCCCAATGGTTAGAATATCAACACCCCTTTTGTGGCAGGTGGAACATTCATTTTTCTAATACCCTCTTTGCTTGCAATAAACACTTTGATCTTTTTTCTAGTGGAGACTTATTTTCACCCATTGTTCTTGTCAAGGTTCACTTTTTCTCTAGAGAAGGTCAGCCTTTGGACCAGAATGGGGCAATTCTGAAGGGAGCAACCATGATTTTAGCTTGTTTTTGTGCTGCCTTGTCTACAGTCTGAACTCTCTTTTTATTTTTCAGCATCTCAGTTATGAAAACCTTTTGGCATTTCCAGAAATGGAAAAAGCCATTTCCTATCCTCTATGAAACCTTCAGCTTTTTTCTTTTCTTTTCTTTTCTTTTTTCTTGGCTGTCTGGAGAAGATTGGGTAACAAAAGCCAAATTTAGCCAAACTCTAGCCCAGTTGTTCCCAGGGCTAGAGTGTGAAAAGGAACGTGTGCTTTGAAGGCTTTCCATTAAGCATTTAAGGAATGTCCAGTGTATATATTAGGGTCCCATTTGTGGTGGGTTGAAGGGAAAACCTTCAAGTCAGTTATCCAAGGATGGCAAGTGTGGCCAAGAACATCCAATAAAATGTTTTATTCCTCAGATGTGAATAGTCATAAGCAATTTTTGGCAGTCACCCCAAGTGGGTCCATGGGTTTGTAGAATAGACTCAGTGAGGTCAGGACCTGGTGTTTTCTCAGAGATCAGGGTATTTGGAGTCCACCATTTACAGAGGTCTGTTGTAGAGGATGGCTCATACACTAGTAATGGGCATTCCTCTTGGTCTATACCTGGGGATAGATAGGCCTAAGGAGAAGAGCAGGAAGTTGACTGAGCTTAGGCTCACAACAGACTGTAAGCCTTGGGGAGTGGTGGGGATGAGAGAAGCTGAAAGGAGAAGGGGTGAGGTGGAGGCTGTCTCCTCGCCCTTGTTGTGAGGGGTAAAATGATGGTATGAAGTAGGGGGGGGGAAAGGAGTGGAGAAGAGGTCTTTGGGGTGATGGCTCAGAGTGAAAATCTTCAGTGAAGAGGAGGGGCTGTACTAGGGCTAACCATCGGTCAGGGTAAGGGAGGGAAATGGTCTAGGTATCAGGGTTTCCTGTAAGCTTGAGGCAGGCAGGTCTAGTGAGAGGTGGGGTCTAAGGAGCGCTGGGTCCTGCCTATGCCATAAGGCCAATTTGTGGAGCTTTTTCTTGGAGTGACTGACTCTGTAGTCACCGCCAAATTCCAAAGAGAAACCATTTAAACATAGACTAGAGAGGAGTCAGTTCATAATGGCTGAGCTGCCCTCTTCTCCACCCCCACCAATTGCTGAGCTGGAATTAAACTGCACGGTTAACAGAATGGCAGGAGGTGAGACAAAAGAAAGGAGGAAGGACCAAGGGAGTACACCAATGTGATGAGTCTATAAGAAGAAGGTAATCCCAAAGGAGACAAGAGTTTAGGAAAGGAGACGGGGAGGGGAAATATGGTGGAGCTGGGGGAGTCGTTTATCTTATGGATAATAGAGCCATAAAAAAATAAAAAGAAGAAAAAAAGAAAAGGAGGTTGGGTTGCCTCTCCTAGCATAGGTGACCAGGGCAGAGGACTTCCTCCAGAAGGAAGAAGAGTACCCAGGTCAGCTTCTAGTTGCCATTAACCAAAGTGATCTCTGAGAGAAGGCTGGCTCTCTAGTTTCCAGAGAGGTTCAGGGGAAAGTAGAAGGCAAGAACAATTGCTGAAACAGAATTGATAAATTGTACTGTCTAGCCATACAGTCATCCATAGAAATAGACATAAACATTTCTGCCCAGAACTTCCTAAGACTCCATCTTAATGTTTGTAGGAAGGTACCAGAGAGGAATCTCCATCAGGATTTAATAGACCAGATCAGATATCTATATATCAGAACTTACCTCCTGAGAGGACCAGGAGGAAGGACAGTGTTTGTGTCGAGAAACAGTGGTCATCTTAGGACTGATCTCCAGCCCTTGTGTGCCTCCTCTGTAATAGTTCACCGCTGGGGAGACCCAGAGTGAAGACCAACACTGAATGGCTTTCTCACTGGGGCCTTCAGCTGTCTTACATCTTACAGACTCAGCAGAATGCCATTTAATGATAGTTAAGAGTCCTTTATCTGTTTATGACTCTCAACCCTGGAGAGAAGCAGGGTATAAAGCTCTAAACCACTAGGGGCAGAAGTTTCATGACAAAGACTTTCAGAGCTCTGGTTTACTAAAACACCCCTTGCAGCTGCAGGGGTGGCTGGGCTAGAATGTTCTGACCTCAGTACTTTATAATGCATTATTCTGTTCCCCCACATTCAACCAACCACTTGCTGTTCCTCGAAGCACCATGCTTTGCCAGTTTCTCTACCTAGAGTGCATCCTAGATCTCAGCCTCCAGCTATTAGTAAGCTTCTCCAAGCCTTCAGCCCTTCTAGAAAACTTTTCTTCACATTCCCAGATAGCTTAAGAGAAAAGCAAGGAATAACTCAATTAGTCTGTCTCTCCCGGCCTTCACTGGTCCATTGAACTGCCTATTTCTTTACCTAGATCTGAGAGAGCAGAACCTGAGTCAGTGAAGTTACAGCTGTGTGACGGCTAAAAGAAGGAACCAAAGAGACCCACAACTCTCTCTGGGTAGCTTGTACAATGACAGCTGTCATTTCCAGTAGTCTCTGTGGACACTGAGAAAAGGCTCATTTCTGTTCATTGTGTACTCCTAATTCCTGCTTCAAACTGTTTTATATTTTCTTTTCTGTTCCATTTCCTTTCTCTGTATCCTAGGAGTCAAGACCATGACCTGAGATGCTAAGCAAATCTTTACTGCTGAGCTGCACGTCTCAGCCCATACCTTTGATTTGGGGTTAACTGCTCCATGAGCTTTCTCCTTTGGTAGAATCTGGGGCCTGCTTGATCTCTACCTTTTGCTGCTCTGAATGTTCCTGCCATTCTATCTAGCACACCGAGACTAAATCTTCTCGGGTATGAGCCTCAGCAAGCAGTCACTCCTGAAATCTGTGTCTAAGCCATCATCTTGTGTTCTCTAGGCCAGCCAGTTTTTTCACATTACTCTACACAATACCCAAGATAATCCCCCTCCAGATTGGGAAGTTTATTTGGACCTACAGTTTTAGAGGTCTTGATCCGTGGATGCTTGGTCTGTTTCTTTGACTGTTGTGTTAAACCCTATTTCCCTTCACTGTTCCAGTGACCTAAATTTCTCACCAGACACTAGCTCTTAAGCTCTTAGGTGGCTTCTAATGACAACTGCCATGAGCCAGATTGCACTGAAGAAGGATCTGGACCCCAGGCCAGAGGAGACTTGTTCTGTTCCTGGCCACACACAATCACTCTGCCTTTCTGGGTTACTGCTCTCTCATCAATGAATGTAAGTACCTTCTTGTCAGCCTAGAGTAATGGTAAAGCTTACACAAGTCAGCAGGACAAGGCTCTGACAACACAGAGACACATACAGTGAAACCTGTCTGGGTGTGAGGCTGGAGAGGCAAGGCTCTTGGAAAAGAGTGCTGTTGAGCTCCTGGCCACTGTCAAGGCCCTTTCCTTTTGCTTCCAGGAGTTTGCCAGACTTTTAGAAGTCTGTCAACCCAAGTCAGGCCTCCTGGACTGGCCAGAGTAAAGAAGAGGTCACCCTCACAGGCTGACAGAGGCAGGATGTCTCAGCTCCTCTCTGTCCCTGTATGTCTCTGTCTGGTTTCGTCTGAGTCTCCTATATACAACCTTACAAACACCAACACAGGCAAAGTGCACTGGGAACTGTCTGGAGGCAGCCCCAGTGGCCAGCCATACAGTCTGGAGGATGGGAGGCAAGAATCACTGAGTCATGGGGCGTGGCAGAGAGGATGCATACAACCTTCCTTAAAGAGCTATTTTTTTTTTTTCAAACCTCTCTTCAGGATTTTATTATCTCTTTCATGGCAAAGAGACAAATTAGTGTTTATTTCCTCTAGTACATGGGGTCACCCTGGACTTGGATCCCAACCAGCGACATCTGTACCCCATGGCCTGTGTGTCCAGTGTTCACTAAGCACGGCTTCTGGGGAAGGCTGTTGACTGTGGCTCTTCGTTGGCATTGAAGGGTCCATTTTGGGGCCTCTGCTCCCCAAGGAGATGGAAGCCACCCCCTTCCACCCAGAGGGCTTTCTCTTCCTCCCAGAGGGCATTTTCTTCCTCCCAGAGGGACTTCTTATCCTCCCACAGAGCCTTCTCTTCTGCAAGCAGGGCTCTTTCCTCTACCCATAAGGCCTTTTCCTCCTCCCATAGGGCTTTGTCCTCCTGAAGAAGATTCCGGTCTCTTTCCCACAGAGCGTTGTCCTCTCTCCAGAAGGCCTTGTCCTCTTTCCAGAAGGTTCTGTATTTTTTCCAGAAAGTCTTCTCTTCTTCCCGGAAAGATTTTTCCATTTCCCAGAAGGTTTTTTCTTCCTTCCAGAAGATCTTCTCTTCTTCCCAGAAAGGTCTCTCTTCTTCCCAAAAACCCAGGATCTGGCCCCGGAAAGCCTGGATCTTGCCTCGGAAATCCCATATCTCTTCCCTGAAATCTTCTATTTTCTCGTGGAAGTTTCTCATCTCTTCTCGAAAAGCCTTTTCCTCTTGCAGCTTGTGTATTAATTTCTTCTGACGAATACTGGGTGAGGACAGCACCAGTGACCGGAGGCAAGCCAGCCCCATCCACTTGCTCACCTTGAAGGGAAACATTTTCCAATCAGCCGGAATGGTACGTGGCTGTGTTGGAGGTGAGGGCTGGCGGCCACGTCCAGGTCAGTTGGTCAAACCCTGTGAGTACATGAGAGAGAACACATCTGTGAGTAACATTTGCCAGAAAACAGTGCTCAGGAATGTGCTCTCTGATATGAGAAAATTTATCACTGCTCTTAGTCCTATTAGAGAGAGAGAGAGAGAGAGAAGTTTTAGTACAGAGGAATGCTAGGTGGTCATGGCTTTGAGCTGGCTAATACATTCAAGGCCTAGTGTTCCAAAACCAAACCCAACAAAGACACTGGTGCTATGCTAGGAATCAAAGTACACAAGGGCGACGTGATGCTTAAGGGGTAGAGTGCAAGGGGTTAAGTCATAAGTCATCACAGCCTCCAGAGGATTGACTTTTGTCAAAGCCACTCAAGATTCATCGAAATTCTCTCTTGGGAGCTCATGCTCATTCACTCGGGGTGGCTCACATGTGAAAGCTGTTTTTACAAGGTGCCTGATCAATTGGATGATGACCCCCACCAACAGAGGGAGGGAAACTATTTTAGCAGAAAAGCATACCTGATAAAGAGGTTTTAGTTCAGAAAAAGTGAGAGAATGCCAAATATTAGTGAGTCTGTGGAATCTGAAAACCACCCACATGATTTTATTATTTTAGTTATGAAACCAACGAGCCAGCAATTCCATGTCCAGATACCAACTGAAGGAAACTTCTAATTTGTGACCTGGACACATACACAGCATGTTCAAGTATTTGTCCACAATCACACAGTCTGGGAACATCCCAGTGACCAGAGCGAGAGGAAGCAATAAAGCATGATGGTTAATTCCTTCAGTGCACAGCAGAACTGCCTACAGCAGCATGAATGAAACCCATGAATACTGCAATGGAAGAATCAAGGGATTTTAAAGAATAAAGACCTAAAACAAGCAAAAATCCTCACTTGTAGGGAAACATACTTAAGTTATAGCTCAAAGAATAAATGAACTAAGCAAGTTTTGTAGTAAGGACAGTGATCGGCAGGGGAGCTGGGAGGGACTAAGAGCTGATTAGTGAGCAGCTGAGAAGACTTCAGAGGGCTGGCACTGTCCTGCTCCTTGCTTGGGTGGTGGCTGCGCATGTGTCATATGAAAATATGTTCATGGAAAACTAAACACTAGTTAAAGAAGGAAGAGGAAGAGAGGAAAAGAGAAGATGGGAGAAAAGGAAGAAAAGGGAAAATAAGGGATGGGAAGAGAAGAGAAGACAGGGAAATGGAGGAGAGAAGAGCAAATGGAAGAAACGACAGTGAAGCAAGGAAAAAGAAGGATGGGAAGAAAAAAGGAAGGGAAGGGAAAGAAAGGGAAAGGTAGGAAGGCAAAGGGTAGAGATTCTAAACACTGTCATGTATCTGAGGTCACAAGTGTCAGGACAATCCAGAGTTCAGATAACTACCAAGGCTGGTCACAGGGTGAGAAAGATGATGAATGCCTAGGCTACAGGGAAAGGTGACTGAAGCTCGTGTGTGCACTCAGGTGCACAGGTCCCATTGTGTGTGTGTGTGTCGTGGAAGCCGGGGTTTGTCTTCAGTGCTCCTCCCTAAAGGACCACACTGTAAAGCAGCATGGTCCAGACGTTCCCTGTATTTTCCTCTTCTGGCTTGGGATCAGGGAAGAAAGGACACACAGCTAGCTCTCTGTCTCTGTCTCTCTCCACCCCCTGCCATTCATGTTCACTCACACTGGATAGCTCACATGTGAAAGCGATTTGTTATAAGACATCTGGCAGTTGGATGGTAAACCCCACCAATGGTGTGTGTGAGTGTGTGTATGTGGGTATATGCATACATATGAAAAGATGGTAGCTGGGCTGGAGAGATGGCTGAGAAGTTAAGACCATTGCTCTTCCAGAGGTCCTAAGTTCAATTTCCGGCAACCACGTGGTGGCTCACAACCATGTAGAGGGGGACCTGATGCCCTCTTCTGGCATGCAGGTGTACATGTAGATAGAGCACTCCTCATACATGAAAGAGAGAGATAGAGAAAGAAAAAGAAAGAAAAAAAAAGAAAAGAAAGAAAAAAAGAAAAGAAAAGAAAAGAAAAGGAAAGAAAGAAAGAAAGAAAGAAAGAAAGAAAGAAAGAAAGAAAGAAAGAAAGAAAGAAAGAAAGAAAGGAGGTAGCTACATGGCTGTTGACTTCACTTCCCTCCACTAATACAAACTGGAAACTGGAGACTCACCTCTGACCTCTTCTCCTCCTATACCTCCTAAACCTCCTCAACCACCAAGCCCTATCACTTTTAACCCTTCACCTCTCTTGGAGGCACACGCTTCCTGTTTCCATCTTCACACGGCCACGTCTGGGTAGGATGCCTGTTCCTGCTTTCATGGTCTCTGGTGTTGATCTTGCTGTCCAGATATCTGCCTACAAGTACACTCTCCCCAACACAATTTCTAAGATTTTTGTTCTGTTGCATCATATCTGCTTATAAACTGCCAAAGACTCCATAGTTTGAAAATCCCAATCAGCTGACTACTCCTTGTCTATATCTTTACTTTTCTGTCTCTGCTCTGCGTGAACATTTTACCTCTTTGCCAAAGCACCGACTGTGTCCCTTCTAAGGTTTCCCTCACCTTCTGGGTGGGCTTCAATTCTTGTTTCTCTCTTCTTCTCTGTGTCTATCTGCCAGTGTCCTATCATTATGTGACATTATGTGTGGATATGTCTTCCTGGTGTCTCTGGAGCCCGGAAGCTAGTAAGAAATGTTGGGTGAATGTAACTGAATTTAGAATTTTTATTTTATTTATGTCATTATGTGGCTCTTTGTTTAGGGTCCCTGGAATATTCTAAGCTCTATTCTTTAGTCCCTCCCCCTGGATAGCTTGAACCAACTGACCTAGCTTATCCTTTCAAATTTAGCGAAGGAGATGCCGTCTCCAGGCAGCCTCCCCTTGCAGCTTCTTTCTGACCTGGGGCTGCCCTTCTGTCCAGTTAGTAGCACCCTGTCATCTATCCCTAGGCACACTGTAATTTCTGCCAGAGAAGATGTGCAAGGAATAGCAGCTGGATGGAGAGCACTTTCCTGAACTAGAGTTTTAGAAAAAAAAAAACATCTACAAGTTTTTCTTAAATTACCACTACATTATCTTTGAGAAAGATGGCGAGGTGGCTTTGTGAGTAAAAGCACTTGCTGCCAGGCCCGATGGCCTGCCTTTGGTTCCTGGAAGCCACATAGTGGAAGTAGAGAACCAGCTCCTGCAAGCTGTTCTGTGACCTCCACACATATAGCGGTTCACACCCACGCACCCATACACACAAGCAAATGTAGACAACAAACACTCTTACGAGAAATGAATTGGTAAAATCGAGTATCTATGTATGCATTATATATCAAGAACAACAGAAAATTGGCAATATCCATCTATGTAGCTAGTTTAAAATTCAACAAAAACATGTCTCATCTTCATAACTGTACCGGGGCTGGGACTTATTTTTAAGGTTACTTACTGCTTAGCTGTTTCCCAACTGGGAAGGCCCTGCAACCGTCAGAGGGCAGGCAGTCATTGTCGCATCAGAACCCCGGTGATGCGGCTCTTGGTTCACACCAACAGTCCTTGCTGTGACCTATTTGTGCTCAGTTCTGAGTCACAGGTTGGAGGTCAAGATGAGACCCCAGATATGAGACCTAAGGGAAGGAGGGGGGTCCCCCAAAGGTTGGAAAGATGTTGACAGCTTTCAGCCTTGGCCTTCACCAATAGTAACTGTTACCTCGGATCTCATTTGGTGTTGCAGGAGGGGCCTCTGGGACGCTTTTCGTGATGGAGGATCCTTGCTACATTGTGTCTCTGTCTTTTGACAAGGATGTGTCTTGGTCTGTGTCTTTTTAGTTTATCCTAGTTGGGATTCTTTGATATTTGCAGACTTTATGTGTGTTTTTTTTTTCATCAAATTTCCAACTGGTTTAGTCAGTTCTCCCTCCCCCCATCCTTCCTTCCTTTCTGGAATTTATATTATTCCTGTGTTTGTAGCTGGTGGTGGCCCACAAGTCTCTGAAGTTCTATTTCTTTTGCTTTCTTCTTTCTGTCATTTGGACCGGATAGTCTCAATGGACCTGCTTTTGAGTTCACGGATTCTTTTCCCATCAGCTCAAATCTACTGTTAAGCTCCACAGTTGAAATTTTTTTTTTGACACTAGAACTAAGTTTTTACACAGTGAAACTTTTGCGATAGCCCAGAAAATGAACAAATCCGTTATTTCAAAGAGGGGTCTGTCCTTTGGTGAGTAAGTTAGGAGCACTCAGAGTTTACTTTCTTATCAAAAGCCTTCCAGGCAGCACTTACATCTCAGGAACTGAGTATCCCACGCATTTGGTACTTGCTATTCTTTGGCTTGCTTCCCGTTTCTCCTCTTTGTATCCCAACATTGTTTTACATACATGACTCTTTTTCTTCTGAGATTCCACATGTAACTGAGACCACACGGTGTTTGTTTGTTTGTTTGTTTGTTTTCTATATAAGGCTTATTTCACTTAGTATAATGTCCCCCAGGCTGATCAGGAAGCAAATGGCAAGATCTTCTTAAGGCTTATGTATTCCTTTGCTTAAGACAATTTCCCTCTATACTTCCTTGGATTTTAAGATTTTTTTTTTTTAATTATGTATACAGTGTTTTGCCGGCAGGCCAGAAGAGGGCACCAGCAGATCCCATTATAGTTGGTTGTGAAGCCACCATGTGGCTGCTGGCGATTAAACTCAGGACCTTTTGAAGAGCAGCCAGTGCTCTGAGCCGTCTCTCTAGTCCTGCACTTTAAGATTTTAATTATCAGGGTGAGTGTGTGTGTGTGTGTGTGTGTGTGTGTGTGTGTGTGTGTGTGTTGCTTCCATTTGAAGGTGTCTGCAGTTGCTGACAGAAAAGGAGCCTATGAAGGACCATGGCTATCAAGATGCCTTTTGCAGATGCCAGATCTGGGCTAGCGTAAAATATATTTTCCCTCTAAAGAAACACGGATTAGGTGTGAAAGAGAATGTTTGTATATGTCAATGCCCAGAGGGGCCCCTGAGTGCTGTGGCAATT